CCCCGTTCCCCAGGGGGTGGGGGTGCAAAGGGTATGCCCCCCCCCCCCCCCCTGCATCCATGTAAATCTGAAATTTCGCAAAAAATAAAAAAAAAAAAAATTCTTTTTTTTATTTCACGTGTACTTTATTTCTGTTGATCAACTTCCCCACACACCCCTTCCTTCTTGCACGTCTTCCATCTCTCCGTTTGTTTTATTGCTTGCTTCGTTTGTTTGTTTTATGGCCTGCTTGCTTGGTTGTTGTTATTTCTTTGCTGTTTTTTTTTTTTTTTTGCTTTTTTTTTTTTTGTTTCTTTTTGTTTTTAATGCGTACATACGTGTGTGTGTGTGTGTGTGTGTTTGTGGTTTGTTTGTGGTTTTTTTTTTTTTTTTTTTTTTAAGAAACACAGGGACACACATAAAATCCCGCACACACATCACAGGCAAGTGGCATCAGATTTAGATGTATACATGTACATGAAATAAACCCATATTTCAAAAAAAAAATAAAAAAATACTGAACGGTTTCTCCGTGAGCCTCCAGTCACCCTCCGACTGTGTCGGAATAGAAGTAGAAACAATCAATACCCGCGTAGTTCACGCAGCATGAGATGCCATGGCACATCCGCTATATTATCGTGATATGCCGTGTACACACTGAAAGGATCACCCGCACACTCAAAGGCGTCAAGCAGTTCAAGCACGGCGGCACGACGCATTATGTCTTGTGCGCACCATTGGTCAAATATACGCTTGAGTGGGCGTAGCCGCATTGAATCCGTCTTGGATGACTCTGCCGTGTCGTTAAGTGTCTGTGTATGGTACATGATAAGCTCCATAGCCACGGCCCCCTGGTAAAGAATACCGGGTCGCTTGCTGAGTATCTCACTCACAACATAATCCACGTCGGCGCTTGACGCCAACATGCGGCCATTGTTCTCGGTGACGCAGGAACATGCCAGCAGGGCGCCAACCACACGCATCACCGCAATTAACTCACACACAGTGGAGTTGTTCCCCAAAGGACTCAATGCCAGCTGAACCGCCTCGTCCCGCCATCGCGGGGCTGTTGTTGGTGGGAAGACACCAACCTCCGCTGCCGCGTCACGCATCTTGCGGAAAAGCACAAATTCAGGGTCTTCTGTGACACGTGGAAAAACAAGACATTGCGCCAGTGGGTCGTAGTGTCCGGTGTTTGTGAAGGATTCCCCGAGCGGGCTGCTGCGCAGCGATAAGGAAGGCGAAGAAGGCACACGTGGACGCATGGACGGCGTCCCGGGCATGGCATTGCTCGTTACAGAGCTCACGCTCAACAAGTACGGAAGGAGCCGAAAGCGATTCTGCGCCGCAATTCGTAAAATCTGTCGTTCATCATCGGGATCGTGCAGGTTCTTTAGCACCTGCAGGCTAACGAGGTAACAGCTCTTTACCACTGTCACCATCTGGTCTGTCCCTCCGCTGATTGTTAGCTCCCGCAAAAGTACATTAAAAAGGCCACATTGCACCATGTTACGCACCTTATCCACATGCGGTAAAGCATCATTGCAAGGGAGGTGGCACTGAAGAATCATTTGAGCCATGTTGTCAAACATGCGTGGACAATTGTCGTATTCACCCTTTTCCACATCAAAGCGAATCCACTCCAATATGGTTAAAAATAAAGTTTTGGCATCATAAGTACCGCCGCAATTACTCAATAACGAAGAAAGAAGAGATGCCACTTTGTTTCGATCGTCAAATGAAGACGTTTTTGTGGTTGCAAGACGCAACCACCATGTAAGGCATACCACCATGTTTTTCAGTTCCATGCCCCGCAACATGGAGACGGCTGTCGCTTCTTCACCGTTACGAAAAAGGCTCATCAATTGTTCAGTGACATCCTTCATGTTGACCGTCGTGTCCGTAAGGGGTGTGCTGCCGACAAATGTATGTGGAGATCTTATTCCCTCACTCGTAGTTTGTGGTTGACTCATGTTGATTTGATGTGGCCGCACATCCGGCTGGCACGAAGCCATTTTTTCCGAGCCTGTACCAAAAGGAGTTAAGGGACTGTTGAGCTGCAAGGAATCCATACTGCTGTTGAAATAATTTTCCGTGCTGCCACTGACAACATGCGTGAGGACAAGCTGGCCGTAAGGTTGATGCTGCCCACGAGAGCACCGTTCCGTCGATCGAAGAGAAGACTTCAAATTGCCACTTGTATTTTTATTATTACTTGTGTTACCATTATTATTATTGCAGGTAATAATAATTGAGTTGTTGATACTTCCATCCTCTTTGACAATCTCCTTGCCATGAACATTCACGTGATTCACACTCACTGGATTGTTGGCCCCATTGACCTCTTGTTCCCCATTGAGAGGAGGCGTCGACGCGGCCGTCCTACCAGCGTCCAGAGAATTCCTCGCCGTTTTCTTCTCCACTGTTGACACAAGAGAGGCTAGAGACATTGGCGGGACAATGGTGGCGCTTTTCTCCCCTGCCGTGACGTTATTTTTCTTGGCCCGGCCCGTTTTTGTTGGACGCTGCACATGCTGCTCTACCAACTCCGGCGACACCCACCCGTTCGCCCGATTTAAATCACTCAAGTCCATCATGAGAAACACCACGCGCGGTTTTGGGTGCGACAATTCAATCGTCTTCGCTATGCCCAACGACTGGGCGAGGAGTTGCGGCATGTGCTCCTTAAGCACCGCCCCCGTGTGGCGCAGGAGCGTCTGAAAGACCTCAAATATCGCCTCCTCCTTTGCGGTGGGCTCGTCCGGGTTGTAGTCCCGCACAAGTATGCGGATCACGTCCTCAATCACCCGCTCCGTCACAAACCCAATTTTAAAGAGCTCCGCAACAAACCGAATGTTTCCAACAAGGCGATCCTTTAATCGAGTGCGCCTTCCTTCCACCTCTTCCTCGCCCAACGGCACCCCTGTCACGCGGTCAACCAACTCATCCGCGGAAAGCTGCAAGGGACGCTGAAACTGCGCTTCGCATGACGCAATTAACATGCGACGGAAACGTCGAGAAAAACTTTGGTCACGCGGCTCCGTCTCGCGCCCACCATCCTTCATGGAGCAGACATCTTGTGCAAGACGTGCGTACAGGCCGCTGTACGCAGGCTCCTGTACTGCCTTTTCAAAGACAACCTTGCAAATCTCCAACAACTCCGTGTCTTCCAACTGACGTAACGGAAGCAACATCATTTCATCCAAAAGTACATCGTATTTGGCCGGTGTGATGCGACTTAGAATCGACATCACTTTGTGATGCGTGAGTCGAACAGGTTTTGCACGTGTTCTACCGCCCCGCAGACTGCAGCCGAGCGCCCCACGTGTAAGACCGTCATCGGCCTCATCCGTCTCATTAAGAGAAAGCTGAAGGTGCGTTGGAACTTTTAGGGATGGAATATGCAGATAATGTCGCACCACCCAGCGAAGCACGCCGTACGGTGTGTGTGCCGCATCTCGTCGAGCCGACAAGAACATTTCCGGTGGGTACACCCTCTTCTCAGTGGCGGCCTCTGTAAACTTCTGGGAGCATGTGTTAACGTCTGCACTTAGAGAAAGAAAACTGCTGCTGCTGCTGCCCACCGGCGGCAAATTGGCACAGCTGGGTGTGGGTTTCAAACACGGCGACTGTCCAAGTGCTGGCGGTGGCAACAAGCGGGGCTCCTTTGGTGTTTGTTCCTCTGCCACGTTGCTTCCCGAGTTACAAGGCCGTGGCAGAAGCGTCACCCCCCTGTTGGTCAGTGGCGCAGCCTTCAAAATGCGTGTGGGTGGCCGAAAAACAGATGGTTTCCACGTCTCGCTCCTCGCAAGACTGAGTGGACCCGGTGTAACGGTGAACATATGTAGAAATATAATAAAAACTGGCAATAAAAATTATTATTATTTTTTTTTTATTGGTGATAATAGAATCTCTACCGCCAATTTTATTTGCTCCTTTTGTTGTTGCTTTCTTCCTATTTTCCTTTTTCTTTGTTTTTTTTTTTTTGTTTTTTTTTTTTTTTCCGTACAGAGACGCAGGTAATTGCTTTTTTATGATGCACCCTTAAGTTGCTGGGCAACGACTGCTGCGGCATGGAGCAAGTAGAGAACCAAAGAGGGTGGAAGACACACACACACAGAGAGAGAGAGAGAGAAAAAAATTTCAAAAACGGCCCTTCAGTGTTCATCCGCACATGACGCAACGCCCGGTGACTTCGTTCAGGTACAACCCCAACAGAGAACAAAAAGAAAAGGATGTAACGAACATCGCTTCAGAACAAATCCGACTAATTAAAAAAAAAAAAAAAAACAGCGCCACGGTAAATCCCCTCTTGTCCCTCACAACACATCCGGAGAAGAAGGCAAAGAGGGAAAAGAAGCCACAATTGACTCAGCCCGGCGGAGTGCGTGTTGAAGCTTCTCCTGAAGATAGGCGACATCCCTGTCCCCGCCATGTGACGCCGCCGCTTCGCCCTTTTCCACCGCCACGGCATTCTCGCGGCGTGCAACCTCAAGCATGGAAGCAATGTCATCTTCGCTCAAAGGAGGAGGCACATCGCGCAACCAAACGGGAGGCGGCACGCCAGCGAACCGTTCCACCCCCGCTGTAGGAAGTAACGCCTCCATACGCAGCGAATCATGCAGTTTCGACAGCCGTGCATTGATCGAACGCATTCGAGACTCAAATATCCGTTGCTCACGCGCCTCTCGCATATAAGCATCACCAATCTCTCGAGCCGTTCTCTGTCGTGGTTGTGGCGGTGATGGTGGTCGTGGGGACAAGGAAACTTCCTCCGCTGCCATCGCTGCTAACCTTTCATCCTCATACTCATCATCATTGTCACTGCTGTTGGCGTTGTTACTTTCAGCGCCAATTGGGCCGCGGACCTCTTGAAACCATCGAAGTCGCTCTTCCAACGCCGCAAGACGCTCCGTTGGCACCGCGCGGTAAGGTGACAGCTCTGCCGTAAAATCTGTGCACATGATCTCTTTAATCCGCTGGTTCTGCTCCCCGCTGAGACCAATGCCTCGCACCGGCAGCGATGGCTGCCTTCCTGTCGGCAGAGGGCGTTTCTTTGCCCCCGCCAGACCCTTCTTTTTTTTCTCCGGATGCTCAGGCTGCTGCTGCTGCAATGATGATGATGATTGTAAAGACAAGAATTTCTTTGCAGCAGCAGGGGACGGCAAGGACACACGCACGCGGCGACCAAAGCGTCCTCGACGAGGCGCTGCGCCACTTGTCTCTGCCTTTTCCACATGCGACTCCGTCTGCTCGGCGGAGGCAGTTGGCGCCACACGATTCCCTTCGCCCGCGCCCCCCTCCAGTTCGCTCTCTGCAATTTCGGTGCGATGCACAAACGCCTCTTCAACTTCCGCCGTGTTTTCCCTCTCCCTCTCCTCCTCCTCTCCGTCACGACCATCATCGACAACATCAGCCTCGTCCTCCCCCTCATCCGCATCCGTCACCGCAACCGTGCTGAGCCGATCTTCCTCTTCTTCCGCGGCCACCGGCACAAGAACGTTGCCCTCGCTGTCAACACATATATGATATTCCTCCCCGTCGCTGTCAAAGGCCGTGATGAACGTCTCAATCCTATTGGCGAGTGTGCTTAGCTCTTGTTCAATGACCGTGGATTCCTTCTTTGCGTCGTCGGTTGACGGTGGTACGGCTGCGTCTGTCGCCGTGGGTGCATGCTCCCTCTGACGCTGGAGGTACTTTACAAACATGGAAGAGTTTGCCTGCAAGAAACGCAGCAACTCCTTGTCGCGAATGCGCCTCACGTCCTCTGTTGTGAGTGCAATGTGCCGTCCGCCATTAACAAGCGGCACACTCTTCTGAAGTATTTGCTCGGCGCGGGCAATGGAAGAAACAGACATGGACGGCGTCAATGAAACCGCCGTCAAAGAAATGACGTTCGAGTTATCGCCAAAGTCGTATTTGTCATCATCGTCATCGTCACAACTACCGAACTCCACCGAGTTGTCGCCTTCCATCCATTCCGCAAGGCCGTCGTCGAGCTGAGTTTTCATAGCACGACCGGAAAGAACATGCAAAAGCATACGGGACGCAAAGGAACTCAAGTGGGAGTCCGCAGCGTCGCGTGGTTCTGAGGCAGAGCCATCAGACTTCTCGCCGCTAATCCTCGAGGAAAAAGAACTGGGCGTATGATATCTTGGCTGCATACAGGTGAATATACATATACATGTAGCCTGCAAAAAAAAATAATAATAAATAAATAAATAATAATAATAATAAAAGGGCGCCAAACGCATAAAAAAATGCCAGTTGTCTATGAAACGAGCCGCTGCCCCGTAATTCCAAGGCAACAACAAGAAGAAAAAAGAAACAAACACACAAAAACATACATTATAAAATAATAGAGGGAAAGAAAAAAAAAAAAAAAAACCGTTAACGATAATGCAGCACGGCCAAATATATTGTGTTCTTTTTTATCAATTTTACAGTATTTGCGACGTCGCGGCGGGTATCTCCCCAATGCCACCTCAATTCCCACTTCTCCTCTTTACTCATCCAGACCGCCAACTCCCCTGGTGATGGAAGGCCGGTAGGAGACGTTATGAACTGAGCCTGCAGCAGACCTCTCGTTGGAGTACATCAATAACCGTGTGAATTTGCCCTCCGATGCCTCTGAAACATTTTTCACGGCGCCCTCAATGCCACCGTATAGACGGGCCTTCACACCCAGGCCGTAAGTGCCATTCGGAGAAAATCTCCCGTACTGCGCCCGCTGCAATGGATTGGCCTTAATTATATGCGACGGCACATTGGCGACTGCCTGAAACGAGTGCGGCGGAGAATTTGTGCGATTCATTGTTGAACGGGCGTTACTGAGGATAACGCTTCCAGCGCTGGGTCGCGGGGGCACAGTACCAAACATCTTCCTCTCTTTCGTCGCTAACTGGCGAATGGCAGCCCATCGCTGGTTAACGAGAACGGCATCCCTCTGCAGCTCCACATTCTGATGGCCGTCATCTTTTAGGATAAGAGCGTCGTGAAGCCCACTACGCAATTCGCATTCTTTTTGCTTCAGCAGGCGGTGAACATGGATATCATCACCGTCAATATCACTACTGGCGGCCTCATTGTTTTTCTGGCTGATGCGCAAAGACGCGTTGGTTCGGGGTCGCTGCAAGACGGCCACAACATGGTTGATGTACGTCGGTGGACGCGCGCAGTTGACCTGAATGCCAAAATCAGTGAAGTTGGCGCACGCAAATACACGACACTGGCGGCCAAAATGATACTGTGTGAGTGTGCTTGTAAGAACTGACAGGAGTTGATGCCCCTCTTCATCTGACGCAAAGGCAAAAAAGAGATCGTGCTCCTCATGCACACACATAATCATGCTCGGGGGCATTTCACGACGTTCGCGTTTCGAATTCATGTACACTGCTTCTACCCGTTCTAACGCGGTACACCGCACGGTGTCGGCCTCAGAATTCCCCACATAAATGTGCGAGGATGTGAGGTAGGCACAGCGCAGTGTCGGCGGTGCCGGTTGCTCCCAGTGAAGGACGCGGCCAAACCAAAAAAGCGCGGCTCTTCCACGGAAACTAGGAAAGAGACACTGCAGGGACTCGGGCACTTCCACAAAGGGAACTTCTGTCAGAAGATCCACCTTTGCAAACTCCACCGCAGTGATTTCTTCTGCCTCCCTTGGAAACTGCAGCGGACTCTCCGCGCCGTAACGTTGCTCTAGGTAAAGGAAAAAGTCCTCCTCACTCCCATGGAAGGAGCGGATAGTCTCGTCAATCTGCGCCTCGTCAGGCTCTGGCAGACCCGCACGCAGAAAAAAAGCAGAAACCCTCGCACGATTGCGTCGTGTGACAGGCACCGGTTCGGGGCCGTATTTCTTCTCAAGCCCACAGAGGAGAGCGTCTTCCTGTCCAGCGTATTTCTGAAGCAACATGTCTGCATCCCCGCTGCGTTCTGGTATGTAGCGTGCAAGAAAAGCCTCTAGTCTCTGACGCCACGAAGGTCGATCCGCCGTTTCATCCTCATTTGGCAGTGGCGGTGATGAAGACACGTGGGAGGCGTCCCGTGGAGAGAGCAGCAAATTTGGTTGCACGGACAACGCAGAAGAATCCTGGTCAAGCGGCATTGGTCCGTAGAGTTGTGTGAGTCTTTCAAAGAGCAGCTGTTCACGGTCCTGGTAGAGCGCCATAATCGCGTCCACATCTGCAATCTTCTTTGGTTCATAGTGACGATAGAAATTCACTAACGTCCTCCTAATTTCCTCCGGCGACAGGGTTGTTTTATACCTTTCCAATCCTACTGTTTTCTCACGGGGCTCTGGGCCGTATCGCATCACAAGATGATGAAAGAGCTCCTCTTCACGCCCCTTGTAACTGTTAAGAACATCGTCCACGATGCCAACGCTGTCGGGGAGATATTTTGCACAAAATAACAACAATCTCTCACGATGCTCGGGCACTGAAGAAAACTCTTGACGCACGGCATACTCCGGATAGGTGTTGTAGAGAAGGCTGAGCAACTCCAGCTCTCTTCCAAGGAACTGCTCAGTAAGCGCCGCGGCGGTATCTTGTTTCAATGGCTCACATGCTCGCAGAATATCCCTCACACGTTCAAAAACGAAATTTCTGTATCGTGCATTCTCTGAAGTTGGCGGCATCGCGATGGTGGGTAATTTATACCCCTTCTTTGGCTTCAGACGCAGCTTCAACCCCTTGGTGGTTGCGACGGGATTAATGGGAGGTACGCGTGTTGGATCGAGAGCACAAATGGCATTGTGGACCCGCTTAAGAAGTAAGTCGCTATCCTTTCCAACGGTTTGAATGCAGATGTCCGCGTCCTTCAGGCTGGAAACAAAAAAGGTGAAACGCTGCTTTCGCACACTGTCGATGCTGTGAACGAGAACCTTCGAAATGGCCTGCAACGGCAGCACACGCACCGGCTGCTGTGCGTGAACCACAACAACCTGCGCCGGGGTGATGAAGAGAGTGGCCTCCGAAGACTCCTTTAGTGTCTTGCCATAGAACCTCACCGACCCGCCCCAAAATAGCGACACATCGTTGAAGGGTGGAAAACAACGTCTAACGGCAACTGGCACCCACACATCGGGGGGAACAGCATCGGCGGCGACGGTGTCGGGGGCCGTCGTCCTGCTCCGCTGTTCATCCACCAAGCGAGCAAGCGTCGCCCCGAGGCGATCCCCAAATGTATTGGCAGACGACAGGAACGCCGTGTTAGCCGCCCCACTGCGGGGAGAAATGCTGTCGCGCAAGGCCTGTTGCTCCTGCAAGGTCAAGATGGGCTTGCCACGTGGTGGCAGCCGCACAACACCCTCCGGTAGAAGGTCATGTCTATCAGTCATGCATCTCTGCATCGGAACGGGATGCCCGCATGACGACAGCAGCCGCTCAACAACCACCGCGGCAGCATAACCCGTTTTTCCGGCTAAAACGATATCACTTGGCTCCTGTGGGTTGCTGAGTACAAACGCGGTGAACAGGCTCCGCGAACTGCTGGGGTTATCAGACGAAGAGAAACCAACGTTGGTCAAAATGCAGCAAATATTCTTGAGTTCCACGCGCCGATAAATCCCTCCCTGGTTATCGCCAATGTAGAGGCTGTCGCATGTAATAAACAACACTGCGGGCTCTCGCTCTCCTCCGTTGCCCGTCGAAACCACAAAATGTTCAACTTGCGCGCAGTAATGAAGAGCGCAGGTGTCAAGAAAGCCGTACTCGGTCCGCAACGCTTCGGGCACTACGACGTATGGCACACGGGGAGCAGAATCGATGGATGACGACATGTTCAACTCCCCTCACCCCCCACATGGTCACAAAAAAAAAAAAAAAAAAAAAACGTAAAGATATCAAAAAAAAAAAGAAAAGAGAAGAAAAAAAAAAAGGCGGCTGTGTGTGTGGATGTAAGAGTGTAGGAAGTCAATGCGCAATTAAAGATATTTTTTTTATTATTTGCTCAAAGAAAAGAAAAAAAAAAAACAAGCAGCACAGAGCTTTCATGCGTGCTCAGTGAAGTCAAGTAAAATGTCAGAGAGTCATCGCTACGCGGCGCCATTGTACACAGGCGACGCACCGGTGTACCAATCGGGTGAACCGGTGTCGTCTGTCGACTTTTCATGCAGTTGTCTCACGCTGTCGCGTGCGCTATGCTTCACCTCCACCTGGTACTGCGTCCCAGCACCGCTCGCATGATCATCCTCCAACATGTTCGCCAGCGAATCTGCCGAAAGGGCCTCGTCGGAGCCTGATTCTTTTGACGCTGTTGAATCCGCATCTATGCCCGCTGCTGGAGCTGACACGCGAGACACCGTTGCCGTGAGTCCACTTGCCTTCTCTGTAGCCTGGTGCTGTTCCCGTGCAAGAAGCGTCACCTGGTGCGGTGTGAGCTGTTCGCGATGCAACTGGGCAAGGACGTTCAGCACAACAGTTGCCTCACGCATTGTGATAAACCGCCCCGATAATTTCGCCTCTTCTGCCTGCACAGCTGCCACACGCTTCTTCACCGCCAACTCCTTGTAAAAGCCCTCCAGCACCTTCTTGATGGCCTCGCTGTGGGCAATGCCTTTCCTCTTGAGCTCGTAGTATTCCTTCTCCATCCTGTCAAGCGGCTTGCGCACCCAAAAGATGTTGTAATACCGCATCCCCTCCGACGCCAGCAGCCGACTCTTCCGCGCTAACTCGTCGCGGAGTGCCGCCCGCTCTTGGCTGAGCGACCCCGTGTCGTCCTGCGTTGGCTCGCTCTCGTTACGCGGGTTGAGTGTCTTCTCCTGCTGGAAGTTGTGATTTATGGGCGGAAACATGCGGAAGTGGTTGTACCACTCGGGCGGAATGTAGAAGCCGGTGCCTACCAGCCGACCCATGCGCTTCATGTGTTGCCATGGCTCGTACGACTCATTCCACACATCAAAGCGCGGCGCGACGCCCATGTTCTTCGGCATCTTGTACAGCCGCAGTGCCGTCGACCGCATTCTCGCCCCTTCTCCGTTCCTGCGCTCGCCCTCGTTCTTGCTCGGTTCTTTTCCTTTTTTTCCTTCCTTTTCTTTTTTGTCTCCTCAGCGCCTAAACGTCCCGTAAACTTATTTCTGTCTGTGCCTGCGAGTGGCGGACTGCAAGCCACACCCACACACACGCACGCCGCTTGACAAAAGTCGCAATAAACGGTGAATAAAAACAAAACAGCGATGCAAGAGAGCTGCAGAAAACATGCCGTCATCTTACAGACACTGGCAGGAAGGGGGCGTGGGGGAAGGCACATTTATGAAAATATAAATAAATACGCATGCTGACGCAACCAAAACAAGTGTCGGAGGTAAACAAGGGAGAGAAAGCGAGCGAGAAAGAGTGGGGTGAAAGATAACAACAACAAAAAAAAAAAAGGGAGAGAGAGAGAGAGTGATAAGGCGGGGAAGAATTACGTCACAGCTCTGAGACAAGTGCAGCGAAGGCCAAAAAAGAAAAATAATAATAATAATAATAACAAAAGGACGCTGCTACCGAGCCTCTTGCAGGCGTCGCAGTGGCCATTGCCAAAGACACACACACACAACCACAAAAGCACACAAGCATTCACTCACACTGCACAGAAAGGGGGGAGAAGGGGAAAAAAGCCACAGCGCCAGATCAAATGGCAGAAACACACAAATAAAAATAAAAAAAAACGCAAAGGCACATGCAAAATAAAATTTAAAAAAAAGAAAAAGAGAAAAAAAGAGTCAGAAGAAAAAAAAAAAACTGCCACGTATTCACAAAGGCACACACAACTGATGAATCTCCAAATACCGCAAACAACATATGACGGCGGTGTGTTGTTGTTTTTTCCCCCCGTCCCAGTGGATGAGCGGCTGTTTAAACCCTCATCTCATCCCTCCTCTCTTTTTTTTTTTTATTTATTATTATTTTTGCACGTGACCTTTGAATTCCTTTCTGTTTGTTTCCGTTTTCTTTTTTTTTTTTTCTTTTTTTTTATTTGTTTCCCCCCTTTTCTCCCTCCGCATGTCTTCAGAACTTCTGTCCTGTTTTTAATGCTTCCTTCGCCCTTTTTCTTTTGTTTGTTTGTTTCCCTCCTCTTTTCCCTCGTTCTTTTTTGTTTTGTTTTGTTTTGTTTTTGTTTTGTTTTCCTTTTCCCTTATTTTGTCACACACGCATTTCCCTTTCTTTTTTTTCTCCCATCCGCCGTCTCCGGCTCTTGACAAATTCGTTCGCCGTCAGCGCCTTTCCTGCCCCTTCACGCACTCACCTCCTCCGGATCCCCTAGCAACGTCCAAATCCCTGCATACATCCAAAAAAAAAAAAAGAAAAAGAAAAAAAAGACCATACATATGTATGTATGGCGTGGGAGACCAATCCCAATATATATATATATATCGCCTTCTTGTCTGCATGGATGTATTTCAGTCCATTTCTAAAAAATGAGGCCCAAAAGAAAAAAAAAGAAAAAAAAAAAAAAAGAGCCGTCATTTCTCTGTTCGTTCAATTTTCTTCGCTCCTCTCCGCGCACGACATTTGCGGTAATAATGAGTGCACGGCAGGCAAAAGTAAATATTTCAGTATTTACTTATATATATATATATATGTAGATATATAGATAGATAGATACATACATACATACATATAAGTATAAATAAATCTTGTTATCTAAAGAATGAACTTCTTAATATCCACCTTTTTCACCATGTTTTCTACAGACTTCTTGACGTACTCCGCGTCGATGACAAACGTCTCACCCTTTCTGTCAGGACCATCAAAACTGATTTCCTCAACCACCTTCTCTGTGATGGTGATGAGTCGACGTGCACCGATGTTCTGCACGGTGGAGTTTATGTGAGCGGCAACCGTGGCGATCTCCCAGAGAGCGTCTTCCGTAAAGACAAGTTTGACTCCCTCCGTTTCCATCATTGCAATATGTTGCTTAATTAGGTTGTACTTGGGCTCTGTTATGATGCGGTGAAAGTCGTCGGAAGTGAGCGGCTTCAGCTCTACGCGAATGGGGAGTCGTCCCTGAAGCTCTGCCAACATGTCAGAGGGTTTCACGTTATGAAAGGCACCACTGCAAATGAAAAGAATTTTGTCCGTCTTAATCTGCACATTAAACTTGGTTGACACAGTTGTGCCCTCCACAAGCGGGAGCAGGTCCTGCTGGACACCTTCCGCAGAGGCCTGATGTCCCTTGTACCCCCCGGATGCGGTGACAATCTTGTCAATTTCGTCAATCACCACGATGCCATCCTCCTCACAGGCTCGCAACGCCTCAGCGGAAACATCCTCCGTGTCAACCATCTTCTCAAGCTCCTCCTGCTGCACGGCAGGAAGGGCGTCCTTAATCTTTAGTAACTTCTTCACCGTCCGGGTCTGTGCAGCGCCCAAGGCGCCGGGGAGATCAATGGCAATAAAGACACCTTCGCCTGCTGCTGTCTTGGGCTTCGGTGCCTTTTCTTGCAGCTCCACCATCACCTCTATGTCATCCAGGGCACCGGAGCGAAGGTGCTCGCGAAACCCATCCGACACACCGGCCAAAGCCTTCAAAATACGGTCCTCTGCCTTCTGTCGGGCCACCGCTTCGTTCTGCCGCATGAGATTCTGCTTTGTTTGCGTCAACGATGCTTTGTAGAGGTCTTCAATGATGCTCTCCACATCCCGGCCGTGAAAGCCCACCTCCGTAAATTTGGTTGCCTCCACTTTTACAAAGGGCGCATCCACCAACTTTGCCAGACGCCGGGCAATCTCCGTCTTTCCAACGCCCGTAGGCCCTATCATGAGGATGTTCTTCGGTGCAATTTCCTCGCGTATTTCCGGACCAACATGGTGGCGTCGCCAGCGATTCCGCAGCGCCACCGCTACCGCCTTCTTTGCTTCGTTCTGCCCAATGATGTAATTGTCCAGCTCCCGCATCAGCTCCCGCGGCCTCATGTTGCGGATGAGCGTCCGTCCCGTCGTTGACACCGGCGGCGGCGGCATCGATGGGGCGGCAGCGGCGGTGGCCGCTGCACTACAGAAACGAGCCGCCCCAGTGACTTTTATAACAACGCCGGCATGCAGCGGAAAGACAGTCGCACGACGCATGCCGTGGCGTACTTTCACGTGTTACTCTTCCTCCTCTTGCTGGGGTGGCAAATGCAAAGTGTCACGGCGTGTCAAACTCTCAATAAGAAAGTAAAAAGAACAAAAAAAAAACGTGTTGTGCTAAACCCCACCACTCCTTTTGTTGTTGTTCTTCCTTGTTGCTGTTGCTGTCGTTGTTGTTGTTGTTGTTGTTTTAATATATGTATGTATATGTATATATATATATCCGCCTCCTTTTTGTTTAGCTCCCCTCCACCAACTCTTCTTTCCGCTTCCCTTGCTGTTCTCGTAAAAAGCTCCTTCCACATGTACGTGGAAAAAAAAAAAAAAAAAAAAGTGAAAAGAAGGAGAAACCACGAAATCGCCAATCCCACAAAAAACAAGGACACAATTGCGCCCCAACAACGTGTCATATGGTCGCTCAAAAAAAAAAAAAAAAAAAAAAACAGCGAGCACGGCTACTCACACAATTGGGTGTCCCTCCATCGCAAAACTATATCGCGTTGCTGAAAAGAACATGCTGCCTCTTTCTTTTCAACGGAGCCACGGATCGCAGCTTGTGTACAAGACGCAGCAGACTTGTTGTAAGAATCCAACTCCGCCGCTCCACGATGCTGGCGGTGTATGTGTTGCGGGAGCCAACCTGCAGCTCTTCCTGAAGGACGTTGAAATACAACGCCGAGTACAGCCCAAGGCCCTGAGGATGGTACAAATTCTCAAGCAGTGGGTAACGCTCCATCAGCTCGGACTGCCGCGAAAGTAGACCCTCCACGCCAACAGGAAGGTTCACCCGATGCGTAAAGGCATAAGATATAAACTTCGCCTGCGCTTCGAAAAGCATAAAAGGCGGCAACAGTTCCTTTTGTATCCCCACAAATGCAATGGAAGGACGGTGAACGTACAGTGTGCCCAGATAAAGCCCACGATGGTGGTGCATTTCTTTGCCGGTACTATCTCCATGCGACGGCGGTGATTGCCCCTTTTCACTTTTGGAAATTTGCAGCAGTGATGATCCCTCCACCACATTTCGCATGTCTCGATGCAGAAACGGGTAGCGTGTGTGATATCCGGTGGCACAAATGATCGCATCAATGTTATCAACAAAGATTTCACCCGGGGTATCGTCTGAACTTTGGATCCCTCCCTGCCGATCGCGCGCCGTAGAGCGTGTTTTTGCCTCGGCAATTATATCTACTATCCGCTTCGGCTGCTCTGTGAATAATATGCCGCGTCCCTCACTGCGAAGAGGGTGTCCGACGCCTGGCATCCCTCCCCAGCAAGCACTATTCCTAAATTTAGTCCAGTTTGAAACAATGCGGTTGCCTTTTGTAATATCTTTACGCCAGCCAGGTGAGCAGGAAAGCAGGTGCAGAGCGGCGCTTGCCACATCACGCATAGCCCCACCTTCATGCATCTTCAAAGAAGACCAGTTCGCACCGTTCTCGAGTTGTTGTTTTTGGCGTTGCTGCGGCATGTAAAGAGATTGGCAGCTGCTCTGGTACACATCGGAGCCACTACGTAACAGCTCCCAGCAGTAGTCAGATGCCGTGACGCCGTCGCCCAAAACAACAACACGTTTTCCTTTAAACTGGCGAAAATCCTTTACATGCGAGGCGTGATGCAGCTCACCACCCTCCCTCAGGTAGGGCTCTAGCAATTCCTTTATTCCGTCCGGGTATCGTGGCTCCTGTGTTTGACCGGTGCACACACACACCTTATCAAATGACCATTCAAAAACGTCACCATTCACAACGTTAACTGTAATAATGCGCCACAGGGCATCCCGTTCTTCGTAACGGACGGACTGCACCTTCGTGTTGAAGCGCACAAGCCCTCGGATGCCCATCTTCTCCGCATACTGCTCCAAGTAGCGACACACAGAAGAGTGATGTGGGAACTGCGGCACAGTGTAATCAAAACGCAAATCGCCAAAACTTATCAGGTCTTTTGGTAGTACACATCGCATCGTTGGGTGCACAGGCGACACAAGTCCCCGCGAGGAAAAAGGGCTGCGTGGGTCGCTCTTCCATATGCCACCAGGGTCTGCCGCCAGCTCAAAGCATGTCACTAGCAAACCACTCCGGCGTAAGGCCGTGCAAGCCGCCATCCCGGCAGCACCGCACCCAATCACCGCGCAGGATAGCATTCGTGTCGGTTTGTCTCCTTTTTTCTTTCTTTCTTTAGACCGGCGACTGCGTGTGTGCTTTGATGCTCCTTCCCCTCTCCTTCGTTCCTGCTGCAGCCGTCGTTTTTTCCAGAAAAATAAAATAAAGAAAAAGCACAGGAAAGGGAAATTTAGTTCTGTTTCACCCACCAGGGAAGGAGTCCACACCTCCACACAACCCTCAAAGGAAAACCCGACAACAGCAGCACAAAATACGAGGAGAGAAACTTAAAAAAGTAATATACATACATATATATGCCAACTCAAGACGCCACGGCGTCCCAAACTCCCCACGCGGTCTTGCTTTTTTTTTTTTTTTTTTTTTTTTTTTATTACATAAAAGACGGGTCCAAGAGTCATTTTTGCCATCACACATCCCCCAACGCCCTCCAACCGAGTGAAATTTTCTTCTCAAAGTAAGATCCAACAGGCAACGACCTTTTCAACATGGCAGCCGTCGCCTCGTCCAGCAGCTCTGGTTCCACGCCAATGAGGCGCCGGAGTGTTAGCTGTTTTTCCTCCTCCAGTGTGGGCTGCGGTTGGATGTAGCGCCCTTCATTAACAGCCGCGCCAGGCTTCTTGACTTCAATGCCCGTCACAAAAGGGAAAAACAGCAAATTCGATTCTCTTTTCGGTTTCTGCGGCGATATATGCGGCAAAACGCCATGAGCAACACCAACATCTGAGCCTAAAGGAGGTAACCGCGTTTGGAAACGCGGCTCCGCACGAGGAAGTTCCGTTAAGTTCACATAATTATGGTCCGGCGCGGCGTAAAGGATCCACACCTCAGCCTCGCTGCCGCTGGTCAGTACCACGGTGCCCGTGTACGCGACGTTTTGGGGCGAAAAGGTCAGGAATGCCAACAGCAATCTATCTCCCTCACTGGGCTGCTTTGAGACGATCGCCACACCCGCAACATTTGGGCACGATGGCATCACAAGAAAATGCGTAGAGCCCTCCGGAACATGAGGCGTTAAAGGTGCAAGAAGTTTACAAACAGAGGGGGTAAAGTACTGGCGGGGAAATTGCGGTAATTGATGCGGAACAAACGTCACTAGAACTTGATAAGCCACAACAGGCACAAAAAGTTCCTCAGAAACGACTGCAGTAAAAGGGTCTTTGCGTATCGTTCTCGCGCCCACCACAACGCTATGGTAGCCAGCCTCTGGCACCATTATTGTAAAGGTCTCGCTATTGGTGGCCTCCTCGCGTTGGTGCCACACCCACTGAGGTCCCAGCGGTGTCGCCGTGCTGAGATCTTCGGGCAACGCCTCCAGTGTGCCCTTGTAGATGAAGCAGGAAAGCTCCGTCCGCTCAGGTTTCTCATTTACAAGACTAATATAAAAGGGCGTGGAACGCACCGTGAAGAGGCATCGACGCCGGTGTGACTGCAACGCCAATGGGAAACGAAAGAACGTGTGCGTCAGACAGGGAGCGCCCTCCCACAGAGATTTCCGTGGCGGATTCAAGAGCAATGTATTGTGGCTCTCTTTGGGTAAGTGAGTGAAGCAAAATTCCTGTGGTTTTGTATTGAAATAGAAACTTTCCATGCATTTCTCCGCTGAAACAGACGACGCCAAAATTGGGCCATCAAGAACGTTTTGTTTTGGCTTCTCTTTCTGGGGGACAGCAAGACGCTTGGATTTAACAGATGGCAAATCCTTTGAACTGGGCTCCCTACCAGCCTCCGCTTCCTCCACTACGTCTTTATTCCGTGTGGTGTAACGTAGCGGTCCAGTGTAGGCCGAGAGAGCAACGTCCACCAGGTACCGTGTCATGCTGTTCTCCCCCTGTGGGATACATACAATATTCCATGCCCATTCCATGACTTCCTCCGGCGCACGTCCTCGCACGTAGCCTTCAACCACCTTACTTTCCACCTGAGCCCAGTACAGGCACTTCTGATACAAGCGTGCCAAAATAAGCGGGTCAGCGGTACGCTTACGCATGGCCGCCTCAAGCGGGTCGACAACCTCCACGGGGGCTGTTGTGAATTGCACATCAACCCCTAACTTTCGTTTTGCGTTACGAGATGCCGCGGCGCCCCTTCGTCCAGTCACTTTCTTTGCAGTGGTAGCAGCAGGAGCGGCCTCTTCCTCGACCGCGGGAGAAGGTGAAGGAAGCTCTACAGTTACGTTCTCGCACAACCAACAATACAATGCCCGTGCCTTCTTCATCAAGCACTGTGTCCCAGACTGTCTCCACGTTGTCTGCTGAAACGGCGCAATTACTTTTGCTGTTATTTCCTCCAGTTTTGTTACCCCATCCAACGGGCCAACTGCGCGTGCTTGTGCATCCGCTTCCTTCTGCTCCGACTCGCCGATGCCCCACCCGGCGTCCACAACAACATCGCCTCCGCAAGCGGCACCATCGTGGGAGAACGACACACCATCATGACGACCATGTGGATGTTTCGTGGACGACAAGAAAGAAACACTCTGCCCCTTCGTATTGACCTCTACAAAAAAGCCAAAGTGATGAATGTAGTCACCATAATATCGAAGCTGTGGTTCAAATATGGACGGACACACGTTCTTTACAAAGGAATCGTAGAGAAATCGCCCAAAATTTTCCAGTCGTGTATCCTCAGTCTCCTCCACGGCCACAGACGGCGCTTTTGTTCTCCTGTTCATGTGCCAATGATGTTCCTCTCACTGGGGAAAAAAGGGGGGCAGAGAGCAGCGTGGAAGAGAGAAAGCTCCAGAACTCCGCAAAAAAAAAAAAAACCGTGCAATGCGACTGCGTGTCAACGTTCCAAATGACAACAACATTAAAAAAAGGGGGAAAAAAGAAGAAAGGGAAATTGGGTTAGAGTCTTATAGCTCTCCACCGTCACCACCACCACCGCCATACCAGCATGACGATGCAATTCATCGGACTTCCATCGTAACTCCTCTTCGTTCCCTCGCTCCTTCTTTTTTTATTTCACCCCCGCCCTTTTGGCGGATGTTGTGTGGTTGTTTTTGTTATTCTTCTTTTTGCCTCCTCTTCGCCCTCTCGTTCGTCACCTCTCGTTCCCTCTCGCTCGCCCCTCGTGAATACATCTTCAGGAATGTACACACATGAGTGCCTCACCCAATGGCAGAATCTATCAAAACTGACAAAGGGGTGCCAAACATGCAAGCAATTCCTAAGCACCTTCCACTTTTTTTTTTTTTTTTTTTTTTTACTTCGGCCCTCAGGTTTTCAATTATTGTTGCATTTCCCTTGCGTCAAAGTCACAAAATAAAGTAAAGCACAATGTTGACAAGAGCATGGCTCATCTCCGCATTTCATCCCCAAATGACACACAAATACTTGTCTGTGTGTGTGTGTGTGTGTGTGTGTGTGTGCCTGAGCGTTAATAAAACACACAGACAGACACCTTCCCCTTTCAAGCACCGTCATTTTATCGCCATCTCTCTCCTCCCTCCTCCGTGTGAAGTCAGCGACAGACAAATCAAAGAAAGGAACAAAGGCAAAGCGGTGTATAAATCTGGACAATGCACATATGAATAGGTGACAATAAAGAGAAGAAGTATAGATATATATATAAAGCAAAAAGACATATGGAGAAAGAGAGAGAGAGGCAGAGGGAGAAAAGGAATTCCAATCTATGGCAATGTGTGAAGGGAGAAAGGACCAATTTAAATTATTTCACTCCTTCTCTCTTTCGTCTATGTTATCATCCATCCAGAGAAAAATATTGCTGGTAGGAAGAAAAAAAGAGAGAACTCCCAGGCAAATAACTTCCTCCCCTGCAGAAACACACAAGCACGCAAGAAAAAAAAAGAGAGAGAGATCAATAATTGTGGTAAGAGTGCAACTTGTCCATTTTTTTTTCTTCCTTTTTTGTTAGTCTCACCCTCAATAAATTCACCTCTTTGGCAAAAAAAAAAAAACGGAAAAAGTCGTTTCTTATGTATTTTTTTAATTCTATTAAACCCAGTTTCTTTTCATTCTCTATCACACAACACGTCGTTGAGGTTCCACTCTTAATCGGCCTCAGAGACCGCCATAGGGGATGTCGCTGTCGCAGAGTTTGAAGAAATTACAGCTGCGTATTTAGCCCTCGCATTGAAGCACATGTACGCATACATGACAATCTCAAAGGCGTATATCTGCGCTGCCTTACTAATGATGCTTCGCAGCAGGTGGGGAGAGAGGCCCTTGTAAAAGCCAACAACTCCATCCGCTTGATAAATATGCCGTATTGTAGGGAAAAATCGTGTGTGTTCACATTGACGTGTCACAAGGTTCACGGTACGCAGGTGCGTAATGACAACGTTGTATGGGTAGGCGACACCCACCGCCACCAGCTTCGAGACCATCGTCAGCGATACCATCGCCGCAGATGTCAGAAGAAAGCTGTTTGAATCTTTAAAGGACCCTTCCTTTGTTATGCGTTTAAGAAGCTCATACACGGACCAGAAAAGACCCTCCTCTACAAAGCGCCCACCTATGTTTGTCACCGTACCGCGGTAGAAGCCGACAAATCCCTCACGACGCATCACATCCCTAAAGACTTCTCGTACGGTCAGTCTATCATCCACCTGCACACGCGTGCGTACCAAAAAGAGCGGCGCAAGCGTTAAATTCGTTGTACAAACAGCACCAATGGCACACAAAGCGGGCCGTATACGCTCATCCACGCCCAGCTGCGCCATTTCCTCCTGCAAAAAGCGGTACGACGGCAGATAGATGCCGTTGGAAGGAAGTGACGCCATCATGTTCGCCCCGAGACCACGCGAAAAGGCGTGTCCGACTCCCATACCGAATAGATCCCTTACAGTATACAGGAGACTTTTATGCGACTTGCCGGTGGCACCTCGACTCGCAGAGAGTCGAACGCGAATGGTATCAAGCGGGTTCGTGATACACGTAGAGCACACGCCAGAGACGCAGCCGGCAAAGACAGAGACGGCATACTCCCACTCCCTCCGTGGCGCGGAAGTTCCAGCTGTGGTGGACATAACTGTTTCTAATAATAATAATAATAATAATAAAGCCGCATCGGCAAAAAAAAAGAAAGTTTCAGACAGAAACCGAGAATTGCTTTGAAAATGGCGGCGGTGGCTGTATCAACGACCACCGTAAAAAGCGGCAGCCACCAAGCACACACACGGGCACAATTATTTTCTAAAAGCCTCTTTGCTTTTCTCCACTGTTTGTTCCTCTCTCTTCGACTGTTGCTTTTCGTTTTGTTTTGTTTTCATTGTTATTTTTTGTTTGCTCCTTATCATTCTTAATCGCTTAAGGCGCCTTTTCCTTCGGCCTCCCTTTTCTTTCCTTTTTTTTTTCTTCCATCCTCTCTTCGATCTCTTCGTTCTCATTCCCTCTCAATTGGATGGCGGTAGTTTCTTAATGCCTTGCCATGCGCTTCCGGTGGCGGGACTTGCTTTTCCTCTTTAAACCGTCGCGGCGCTTGTAGGCGGCCTTTCCATTTCTCTCACGGCTCTCCGCCCGCCTTTGCTTGCGTGCTTCACGTATCTTCTTTTTCTTCATCTTCTTGATGGCCCCGGCCTGAAGCTTCTTCTCCGACTTGCGCCGCAGTTCACGATGGGCGTTTTTCACTCTTTCCGCGGCGCGTGCCTTCACATCGCGTTCCTGCCGACGCGCCAGTTTCTGCTTGTGCAGGAACTCCTTCTCCTCGCGGTCCCAATTGGACAGTTCGTTCTGAAAGTGATGAACTGTGACCTCCGCCTCCTTTTCGTAGAGTCGCCGCGCCTCCTCATCACGCCGCTTTCGCTCCGCACGACTAAGACACCATGTTTTCTTGGGCTGTGCCGTCACACCATCGGCAAGCATCTCCTCCGCGGAACGGCTGTAGCGCCGCTCCGCCTGCGCAATTTTTTCCTCTAACGCCTCTGCGGCCAGTTGACCTCGCACCTGCGGGAACACCGCGTTTACTTTCTTCGTCGCCTCTGAAAGCAATTCATCCGGCACGTCGCGGCGCTTCACGGAGGACACCTGATGGCTATTCACAACCCCGCTCACTGTAAGTATCTTTCTCATAATGTCAGCATCCCTTGATTCGTCCACAAGCGACACCGCCGTGCCACTACCACCGATGCGAGCAGTGCGACCAACACGGTGAATATACGCCGTGAGTGTCGGAGGCAAGTCAAAGTTCACGACCGTCGACACTCCCTTAATATCAAGCCCACGGGAGGCCACATCTGTCGAAAAGAGGTACTGCACCTCGCCCGATGCAAACTTCTTTAGTGAAGCAAATCGCTCCTCCTGTAGTTGATTCCCCTGCAGTTCCGCACTCGTGAAACCCAACGCAGTAAAAAGAAGATGTAAACGATGTGCCGTCGTGCGGTAGCGAGTGAATACAATCGTCTTTTCCCTAAAATATCCAAGACAGAGGGCCACCAAAAACCTTGACTTAATCTTTGTAAGGTGCTCTAAAGCATCCTCCGTCTCATTAGAATCCACTGCCTCAGATTTTGCTGCATCCCGAAGCCGCTTCGAGCGAATACGCTTCTTCTTATTGTCCACCTTTTCTTCTTCTTCTCCCTCCATTTCCCCATTCCCCTCACTGTCACAACCCCTCAACGGAGCCGTTGTTCTCGTTGTTGTTGTTGCATCGGAAGGCAGGCGGATGCGTACAAACTGCTGTCGCAGTTTCGACTGGAGCGCCACATGTCCAACGTCCACATTTTTCGGCTCAAACAAATGTTCCTTCGCGAACTCGTCCACCTCGCTCGTCATGGTTGCAGAAAACATTAACACCTGTCGAGTCTCCTCAGGGACGCGTTGAATGATATCCACCACTTGGTCTTTGAGTGTTACAGTAAGCATCTTGTCGCATTCATCGAGTACAACCATCTCCACGCCAGAGACATCCAAACAACCATGTGCGCCCTTGTAGTTGTGGAGCAAATCCACCAACCTTCCAGGCGTTGCAATAAGAATATCAGGAATCGACTCCAGAGCTGCCTCTTGGGCAGTTTGCGCGATACCCCCAATTGCCAAGGCGACAGTCAACCCAGTTGTATGGGTCAGTATTTGTTGCAGCATGTATTGGCATTGCATGCCTAATTCTCGCGTCGGAAGCAAAATAATGGACCGAATAAAACGCCGCTTTCCTCCCGAATGCAACTGCTTCTGAGGTGCACGTGTCAGTAGAATGTGCAGAAGCGGCAGGAGGAAAGCTGCCGTTTTGCCAGACCCTGTTACCGCCCGTGCACATACGTCACTGCCGCCGAGAACCGCAGGAATGGCTTGCACCTGCACAGGGGTTGGAGAAAGAAATCCTATATGCGTGACGGCCCGCACAAGCGCTTTACATAGGCCTAATTCAATCCACATGACTTGATCCTGTGTCTGATTTCCAGCCCCATTCCTGTGTTTACTGCCACAACAGCTGTTGTTCACGGGGATCGTCTCGCCTGGCATGGCTGCCTTCCACTCCTCCTTGCGTATCGGCACAATGTCTCCAGTACCCTTCACACCCGTCAAACCAAAGAAAAACTCCGAGGCACCTTCTATCATGGCATCTCCACTGGTCACCGTGGCATCGTCACTGTTCACACCCGTATTTACGTACGGTATCTTGAAAATCTTCTTGCTGACGCCGCACACATTGTTTTTCTTTTCACCTGAAGAACGCTTCCGCAGGTTCTGGTGCGATGCTCGCATTCAACCCAAGCCAGACAGAAAGAAAAATTTTTGGGGTAACTTCCTTTTATCCCTATCTTGTTAGTCTCAGACCTTTATTGTCTCCCTGACTCCACTTTTCGCGTTGCTCAACTTTGGATGGAGTCCGTATCGTCAGTGGCGGGGATATCACTGCCTGATTCATATCGACACAATATATATATAAGGAAAGAGAAGACGACAGAGACATGGAAAAAAAAAAATGAAACAATGGCAATACTCCATACAGGCTTGAAAGGTTCATCTTATTCGCTTGAATCGCCACTTAAAAAGCATGAGCGTGTTTACCTCATGCACCCATCTCAAATAATAAAAATTAAAGAAATAAATGCAGCGCCAAAAAATAACAATAATAACAACAAAAAGCTGGCAAACTGCGCGGAACAAATCGGTAAAAAAAAAAAATGTGGGTAAGAAGAAACGCACAGTAAAAAGGAAGAAGAAAAAAAAAAAAAAAAAGAAAGAAGGGAAAAAGTAAATGAAACTCTTAGCTGTTGCAACGGCTGGTAGCAATAATGATAATGAGGATGCAATACACGGTGTTCATGTTTACTTCCACACGCTACACAAGACCTGTGGAGAGAGAAAGAAAATAAATTACAACTTTCCTTCCTTTACTATTTACCCAATTGAATCAATCTCCCCCGTAAACCGACCTTTTTCTCCTGAGCCCCATTACCGTATTGCTTGCATCATTCCTCATGCGTGTCCCAGTCCATGAGCAACCACTCCCTCATAACGCCCATCTACGCTTGTCCTAAACTTTCTGTCGTTCTGTCCCTCCCATGCCCTAATGGTATCTGATGATATTGTTACCAAAGTCAAACCAGAATCATTGGGTGAAGAAAGACCAAAAAAAGTTGCTGAAAAAATATATTCACAGCAACTACCAACAGCATCCTGTAGGAAAGCAAAGCCGAAGCTTATAATTTAACATGGCAAAAGACAAAAATAAAAACAGCGTACTTTTTTTTTTTTTGTCATTCTGTAAGATAACAGAAAAAAGATATTCAAAAACTTTGGGGGGGACCTTATTCCCTTTATATTCTGTATTAATAAACACAATACGCACACTGGTACCATAATTCTCGCCTACCTTTTATTCGTAATATGTAGAGAGAGCGTATGGATTGTGTCGGTACATAACGGGGGCCTCAGTGGAGCAAGTAGCGGAAAATCTGCTGCTGCAGCGTGCACGATGCACCTCCCTTGCCGGGAAAGAAAAGGATGGCGCGGCCTCACGCTCATCTAGTCTCTTTCCCGGTGTTGTTGGCTCACTCCGCTCAAACCCAACAACTCTTGACTCAGTCCAACACGGAAGTGAGACAATAACTGGATGCCGTCGGGAGAGAGAAGTGACGGGGAAGACGGCGTTCAGAGAACTCTCTGCTTTCATCGCGCTGCACCTTGTCGGGGTGGGGGAAATGGCCGCGTCTAGTCGCTGCAGACCGGTGGCCTTAAGTAGTTCTACGTTGCGCTCTTCTGTTTGAAGTTCATGTTCACCGTGGGCAAAGGCGCATCGAGTGCCAAAGGGACATTCCTCCTGACGGAGGTAAAACTCGCAGAGGGCTGTTCGGTACTTGGATGGCTTGACCTCCGCATGCTTGTTGGCCTTGGGCATTCTCAGCTGTGTCTTTTCTCTGCTTTTTAAACTTTCCTTTTTTTTTTTTTTTTTTTTATCGTTTTAGGAAAAGGGTGAGAAAATTTATATACAAATGTATATATTTTCGTTTTCCGCAAAAGAAAAGTAAATGAATGCCTTAAGTTCTCCTGTATTTCCTCTGCCTTTCGAAGGTCTCTATCTTTTGTGTTTGCTTCGTTGTTGTTGTTTTTCTTGCCTTCCCCCTTAATTCTGTTATAAGTTGCTTGTCGTTGCTCTCTTTTATTATTATCCCTCCTTGTAACGCGAGTTGCGTTCACTTAATTACTCCTTATGAAGTGGAAACGGAAGCCGTTGCATGCAAAATAAAAGAATAAAATATTTAAAAAAAAAAAAAGGAATTTGGTGTCTTCGCAAAAAACACAGCAAAAATAATATTAACGAAAAAATTCCTGATCAAGATTAACGGAAATAGAATAAAAATAAAAAAATTCCATCAAGCCCTCTATAATGGTAACTGCACATTTAAAAAGAAAGAAAACCCGCGTGAAGCAAAAAATTCCAACTTCATCGCTAAGGACCTCGCAAAAAAAAAAAAATTGGGCCAGTGATCACGCAAAATCAATTCCGTGAGTGCAACACAAAAAAACATGCGTAGAGGCTTGTTAACGTTTCCACTCACGTTCATAAAACTCAGAAAGGGCCCATTAAAGAAAAAACAAACACTCTGAATGTTATTAGGGCCAAAAAATTATTTCTCCCTTATATGTGCTTCGCCGCGGACTGCCGAGCCATATGAACAACAAAAAAGTAGGTTTTACGAGAAGTGAACGGCCCACCCTTTTTGCGCGGGCGCCTCACTGCTGTGGCATTTGGGTATTAAATACTAAAAAACGTTGAATAAAAAGAAAGCAGCGGGTAAAAGAAAACAAAAATAAATAAAAATAAAAAACACGGGAAAACAAAGCTTATTTTTACTTAATAAAGAAAGAGGTGTTTTTTTGTGCCAAATTATGGAAAGGTGAACTATTGTGAAAAAGAAAAACGACTAAAAAAAATGAAGCTGGATATAATTTAAAATTAATCTGGAGAAACGTAAAAGACATATTGATTATTTTTTTTTTTTTTTTTTTTTTTTTTTTTGCATAAAATGAAGAAGGAAATGAGTAAATAAAGATACGTTTTTTTTTTATTATTTCTTTTTGAGGGATGTTTCGCTGATGTTTAGATGCATATTTTTTGGGCTTGTCTGCTCGGTTACCGCTTTTTTCTCCATAAACAGGAAATTTCTTTAAAGTTTCCGGTTAGGTATTATTATAATCTGCATACAGACCTTATATCGTATTTTCTATGGATCTTAAAAGGAAATGGTCAAAATGCGTATCCGCCTTGGATTATCCCATATCATGTTTTTGAGCAAATAATTTTATGAGTAGATGAGTAGTTATGCGGTTGTATTTTGTATACTGAGTCATATAATGTTTGTTATTGTTATTTATATTTTATTTACTCCTGATTATTACTTTATTATTATTGTTATCTTTATTATTATTATTATTATTATTATTATTATTATTATTATTATTGTGGTATTACAGACGCCATTATTAGAAGCATATTCCTTATTACACAACTCAACTGTTCCTTTTTCTTATAAAGGCAATAGAAGGAGAAACAAGAAAGTCGAAAAAAAACTGCAACGTATTAAAAAAAAAAATGGATATAAACTGTTAAATCAAAGGTATTGCCTCAGAAAACATATAAAAAGGAATATTTTTTTTTTATTATTTAACCTTGTAGCCTCTGTCACTGGCGCGATAATTCAATTGCATCTTTTTTCATATCACTCCTATCAGTTTTTCCAGCAGCGCAGACGAGAGAAACTGAAAAGAACACGACCACTTCATAAACACAAATATATATAACAAATGTCAAAAACCGCCAAATTAAAATGTACCCCCAGTTTTGATTATACATAATTTAATTGAGGATTTTGAAAAAAACAAGGAGAAAACAACAACGCACGAATACTCAACAAACAAAACCCATCGGGCACCCTCGCACCCCAGATGCCGCTTCATCCTTCCTTTCGCTTTCCGACCGACAGCGGGCAACCAAACACGTCAACAACGGCGCGGGAGACATCGTTTCTCGGGCTTCCCGCCCTCCTTTCCCGCGCGCTTGGCTCGGCCCGCCTGCGCCCGTCGTCGCCGAAGCGAGGCGAAGTTTTTACGCCGCGCGGTCCGGGGCCCTGTGTTACCGCGGCGCGGTCCAACGCATCTATTCGGGAAAACGCGGGGAAAGAGTGCCTGAGTAGTTTCGCCGTGGTTCGTCATCGCGTTTACGCCCGCATTCTCACCGTCCGCGTGCGTTGCCACAACAAAGCCAAAATAAAACAAGGAAAGAACGAGCATATTTCTCCACAAATTTTTGCTTTACGTATAACATTTTTTTCTTGTTGATAATAATTATTATATTTATGATTATCATTTATTTATATTATTATGTTTTTCTATTTGATTGTGGGTTTTTTTGTTTCTTTTTTTGTTATTATCAGTGTTATTATTATTATTATTATTATTATTATTATTATCAATATTATTACCTATTGACGGGATTTTTTGTTATATTTTTCTTTTTTTACTACCATTATCATTTTTTTTTTTTTTTTTTTTTTTTTTTTTTTCATATTTATTTATATCTTGGTAAAGCTATTTTATTTTTTTTACAATCTGCATTGCAACTTGGGTCACAGGTTTCATTAAGTGATGGAGGGACATACAGCATGTGTCTTTGGTTCATCTTTGGTTATATTTGGTGGAAAGCACAATATTTATTCTAATCAACAGCCGCGTTATTCTAACAAAGTGCGATTGGTGAATGATGTTTCTTTGCTTATTAATCGTGATTACAATTTGCATCAACTTCAGTTGATGCCCGCGACACCCTTGCCCTTTGGTCGTGCATATCACACAGCTTGCATATACAGGGAAAGGTATATGGTGGTTATTGGGGGTATGATTGAAGAACCTAATGAACAGATGAATTGCATGCGTTCTGTCAATATTCTTGATTTAGAGCTTGGGCGATGGTCCCATGTAATTGCAAAAGGTGATCAACCAATTAGTCGCATTCACCATGCAAGTGTCGTTTTAAATAAAGATTTATATATTCATGGAGGATATCCAATTTTGTTGGATAATGATGGTTCATCCAAAGAATTTTCAGCCCATCAGCTATTAAGTATGGGTAACGTACTCTTTGATACTTTTGTTCTTAGTTTGGAATCAATGATTTGGCGTCGTGTTACATCAACAGCCTCTGTTAGACCTTTGTTGTGGGGTCATTCAGGTATATTTTTTCGGGATAATATCCTGCTTTTTGGTGGCTTGGATGTCTCAAAAGGCAAAGAGGTTGGAGAATTGGCATTGTGGGATATTTATACGCGGTCATGGCAATGGGCTAATTGCAATTCTCCTGTTGCATCAGCGATGCATAAAGCTGTGGTGGTTGGAATGCATAGTAAAAAAAATCAGGAACCGACACATATGCTTGTTTTTGGAGGCGTTCAATTTTCGACGCAAGAAAGCGTTTTGGAATTAAGGGAGTTTGATTTAGAAAAAGGTCAATGGAAAATTCTCCCAGGTAAGGGTGAAATTCCTGCGGGTAGAATTGGGCATGCTCTCGTTTCGTATATGAGTGATTGGTTAATATTGGTGGGTGGTGTAATTAGATCTTCCAATGGCCCGGTTCAAGATAATGGTTTATATATCTACCATTTGCGGACGCAAAAATGGAAAAGAGTATCACTGAATGAAGGTGAAAGACCGTTCACCAAGGGGGAAAAGCGCATTCATCGTAAGCCATTTATTGGAGGTGATTATAAGAACATCAATTGGAATCCCGAAGAATTACAAGTTGGTCGATCAAATCAAACTGAGGGCCTCCATCCGACAATAGAAAAGTCAAATACACAATGGCTTGAAAAAAAAACGGCAAATCGAAAAAGCGAAAAAAAGGTTATGCATCATTCAATTCATGATGAACAAAACAAAGTCTTTTATCAAGAAAATTTGGGAATTGGAGACTCACAATCTGACTCATACGATTTGCCACCACCACTTCCCTCTGCTGTTTATACCTTATCGAGAATGTATAAACAAGGGCCAGATAACGGCTTAGTTTTTGAGGGAAAGAACGATAAGAAAACGAAGAAAAATATGAGTAATAAAGAAAAAACTCCAAGAGGATTGAACCCCGTGGAATTTGTTTCAAATCTTTCGGATGAGCAAATTTTTGATTCTCTTGGTCGCCTTATGAATGTAAGTTTTTTTGGAGGGGAAAAGAATGAATCTTTAGAAAACCCCAAAACCAGCTCTGAAATAAATTCATCTTTATGCGTTTCCCCTCCGCTTCTCCGAAAATTAATAAACTCGGCTCTTCCGCGAGAAGTGTCAGATAAATTGCCAGATCACATTAAGGATAGTCAACTATCAGAAGATCCCTTCACCTATCTACGGCCAACAAAGACTGTCTTGCGTTGGCGTCAGGGTTTTTTTGGGCCCTGAAAAAAGTAAAATAGAAAATTATCGCATATAAATATTTATGTATGAAAAGGGGATTTTTTTTTTTTTTTTTTTTTTTTTTTTTTTTTTTTTTATTTCTAATAAAATGGGGAAGCAATATCGTCTGAGTTTTCCAGCTTTTATTATTATTATTATTATTGTATATATATATATATATATATATATATATATATATTGCTTGAAATAGAGAACAATTTTTGTTTTTGGTCCTTTATTAGTTTGTTTTTGTTTTTCACAGGTCTGAGAAAAATTAGAAAGCTATATATTAAAATTGGATATTAAACAGTTTAAAACAATATCGTTGCGAATTCTTGATTATTTTACTTTTTTTCCTTTTTGATTTGTTTAATTTATTTATTGCGCTTCTATCGTATAAATATTTCTGATGTTATTTTTTTTTTTATGTTTGTGTCAACTTTATTTAGTTATTTGTTATTTTTTTTATTTATTTTTATGGGGAAATGAATTACACCGCATTTTATACATGAAGGGCATATTTTCTGCCCTGCCTTTTTTTTTTGTTTTTTTGTTTTTTTTGTTTTTTTTTGTTACTGGGGCCTTGAAATTTATGCAATAAATAAATATGTAGGTATTTTTGTTGGGATTTTTTTCATATTTAGGTTCATGGTTTTAGAAAAGGGTGTTCCGTTTAAAATTACACTCCATCCCTCTGTATTTGAGCAGAAATCAGTGTTGGGTATCCCTCTTTCATTTACAGCTACTGTAGTCGACAAGGAGTTGCAGCATCGTTTGGAATTTTGTGTGCCCTCTGGTCCAGGGGTTGCAGCATTAGAAATTACTAATGTGGAATTTCTTTTTGAAACAAAAAAATTAAAGGGTGGTGCGCGTAAATCTTCCCGATCTTCCTCTTTAAATGGTGGTTCCCAGAGCTACTTATTTATGCAAATGCTTGACAGCCAGGGCCGTTCCAGTAGTCATCCATTTGCTGTTGTTTGCTGCGATGCGGCAATGGGAAGAGGGATCCATTCACGCGTGAAAATTCCCCTACAGAGCAATCAACGCGTTCGCTTCTACTTGGTGGAACGAAAGAACCAGGAAGATGAAAAGATGGAGATTAAAGAAAGGATTGTAGGTGTGCGTTTTACGGGTATTTTGCAGCTCTTATCGGGCGGAGTTCATGTTAGGTCGGCTAAAACTCGGAAACAGATTCAATCATTAATGGAAGGCAGTTTGAATTTTGAAGCAGATAGTTGTGATAAAAAAGTGTCAACTTTAAAGCGAAATCGGGACTCTTCTTATCATCATCGAGATGATGAAGAATTTGCAAAAGGAAGTTTGCGAAGTGACAAGGCAGGGTCAATACCAACAGAACCCATAAGAAATGATTTAGATGAGGAACCGCCAAATCTTATTTATGCTTTTGTTTCTGGTGGAGATGATGAGAGCTGATTTTCAAAAGGGGATGACTATGAAACATCATCATAATATATATCCAGTGGGCACGCTGCAAAAAGGACGGGAAAAAAAGGTAATTGCCGCATTTTAATTTTTATTTCTATTTTCTTTCTCTCCATATTATTATTATTATTATTATTTCCATTGATATTATTTCTTTTTTGGTTCTTTTTTTGTTAGGTGATCTTTTCATTCTGTTGATATATTAAATTTAGCGGAATCCTACTCTGTCACTACTTGCTTTTTGAAGGCTACGCACACACAGAAACAGAACAATTTAAAAAAGCGTGTTTACTCAAAGTAGGATTGGCGTCAACGGCGACGGAATAACAGAAAATGAGAAGAAGTCGACAAAAAAATGAGCCGGATCAAAAACCTGACCTTACACGGTGCTCATTAAGCACACTGCCTACAGAAACTCTCTCGTTAAATGAAAAGCATGATGTGCTCTACCGTCTACTCGAACTCCTACCTGAGAAGTATATGTCTACAAGTCCTCATGAGCAACGACTTCCTGAAGCTCTTATTGTTCGTGTCCTCCGTGAGGCTTATCCTATTATTGCAAGTGATCCAATTGTCGTGTATGTTGAATCTCCCGTTTGCGTATGTGGTGATTTGCATGGGCAGTACTATGATCTTTTGAATATTTTTAGCCGAAGACCGCCTTTAGGAGGAGGGGTTTTGGGGTTGAGTAATCACGCTTTACCGGTTCAACGACATAAAAGAAGTCGAATTTATAGCGAAGACTCTTCAGTTTCGCATCAAGATGAGTTCAAAGCATCCGATGCCCCATACGATAAATATCTTTTTTTGGGTGACTATGTTGACCGTGGTAGTCGTTCAATCGAAGTTGTGATTACATTGCTGGCACTGAAGATTATAGAGCCGTCGAAAATAACTTTACTGCGTGGAAATCACGAAGATGAGCAAATAATGCTTCTGTACGGATTTTTTGACGAATGTAAAAGACGGTATGGGGTAAAACTGTTTCGTATATTTACAGATCTATTTCGTGTTTTGCCGGTTGCTGCTGTCGTTAATGGCACTATTTTTTGTATGCATGGGGGCCTGTCTCCAGAGCTAAAGCGTGTGAACGAAGTGCCAGACATGCGTCCATGTAATGTCCCACATAGTGGGATCATTTGCGATTTGCTGTGGGCAGACCCAGAGGCCGAACTTTCGCCAAACGTTGATTGGGCACCAAGCACACGCCGAATATCTTTTGTGTTTTCCGCCAAAGCACTTGAGAAGTTTCTTAAAGAAAACGATTTGGATATGGTTTGCCGGGCGCACCAAGTGGTGGAGGAAGGCTTCCAATTTTTTCCTAGCAACACCAAGCGTCATCTACTCACAATATTTTCAGCCACAAACTATTGTAATGAATTTGGAAACCGTGGTGGGGTGTTGTGCGTAGACAAGGAAGGCGTATGTAGCCTTTTGATATTGGAACCCCCAAATTTCCATCAGCAGCGGATGATTATGATGAAGCGTGAAGCATTACCAAACAACCAACAGAATCCATGGGATATGGGTGGATAAAAAGAGAGTGGTGAAAATGCACTTTGTTTTTCAGTTGATTTGCTATTCTTTGGGTTTTTTTTTTTTTTTTTTTTTATTCACTTTGGATTTGTTGTTTGCATTGTGGCCTTCACACAACACGCCCCCTTTTTTGTTGTTGTTTTGTTTTTGTTTCCGCTATTTTCTTCGTTTTTTCGTTTCAATTTATTATTGTTCAAGGTGCCCGTCTCTGCCTTCCCATCAAAAAAGGAAGAGCACTTGTTGTCTTCCTACCTACATATATGTATATATATAGGTAGTGTGGGTTCCTGCTCACTTTGGATTTGGAAGCAGTCTCATTGGTAAATTTAAATAGGGATTTTATTTTTATTGTTGCGTGTTGACGTCGCCGCAGCAGTAAAAAGCTTTTGGCGGTGTCATATGCACGTTCTCGTCGAACACAGAATGACTGAACAGACGATTCTCCAAGAAGTTTTAGTTCCACGTGATTCTGGATGCCTGAGGACAGCCATAGTACAGAATGAGTCATCCTGCGCCATACAATATGACCGCACCCTGCGCGCACCTGTGTTAGTTCTGAGGGGTGGTCTTTCGCATGCGCGCGTAGAAATACCCTGTGAGGGCTACAAATTTTTGTTGAAAAAGTTTCCTCAGTTACTAATAATTCTACAAACGTACCTGAGCTCCTTTGACTCCTTTTCTTTGGAGGTGACGATGCATACCCGTACTTCTATTCGCGTGGACCTCACCATTGGGACACAATTTAACAAGGCGAGTGTAGCAGATCTAAACACTGGGGTTGTTGTTTTCAAAATGCCGTTGATTATCCCTCGAAATCGCTGGGTGCAGGTGGTCTTTCATGTCTCTGGTATCTTGACACACCTTTTTGATCTACCACCCATTCAATCCCTGGACTCCATATCATTAACTGGGACCTGCAAAACTTCGCGACTTATGGTATGCAATGATGAGGAGGAGGCTATCAATGCAGCACCCGGTGATATGGCCCTTTTTGCTGTCCCAGCATACGCTCCACCTGTTTGGCAAACAGCCGCCGGTATCGCAACCCCAGTTTTGACGAGTGTCAGGAGAACAACGAGCGGGGCAACCACTACTACTCTGAAATCAGTCGGAAATTATCTGCCAGTCGTGGGGGAAGCAGGGAATGAGAAGAGACGCAATCCATTTCGGCAACCAGAAGGCACATTGAAGTCTAACCTGCAGTCACCACCGCCACCACCAATTGAGCGGAATTCACCAAAGTTGGAAGGTATATCCACGGTCAAGCCTCCGTCCCCATGTGAACCATTACAAGATAAACAGGGTTCTGCGCTACAGCGTGGCTTTTTAGGTAACTTGACACTATCGCTCTCGTCGCCATCAAAATCCTTACAGCTTCAGCAACAAAAGCAAAAACCACAGCCGCAGCTCGCATCTTTATCACCAAAGTCAATACAAACGCAACAGAATCAACAAAATGCGGAGTCTCATTCAAAAAATAGAACTGTTTCATACATACGGTTAGTGAATCCGACAAATCGTCTGCCTCAACGAAATAGCAATGCAATTAATCGTATCCGTCCAGGCGCTGTGACGCGAAGTGAATTATCTGCGAGTGGCTCTTTGACTCCAGCGTCAGCACCAGCAGCACCCACCCTTAGCAACACCGCAGACACGTGGTGCGGCATCACAGGCTGGGAGGAAGCCATAGACTTTATGAGCGGTGCGAACGCCGCCTTGTTGTGCACCGCGGACTACGCTATAAAAGGTTCATTACATTCCATTCAAGGCTCATTAGGTGAAAGAGGTGCAACAGGTGTGAATAATAAGATACAGAAAGGTTCGGAAACGCAAAATCTCAAGACGCAGCAAACCAAAAAATCGATGGAGTTGCGAAGGCGTCCTATCTTTTTTCCTAGCAAGCGTCGAAAGGGAGTAGGAGGAGGAACAGAATCTCAAAATTTTGTGGATGGCGACACTGGCAACGGCGTAACTCATTCTATAAGGCGACGAGGCCATGTTTCGCGGAGATCACGAATACGCGAAAGAATAAGATTGTTAAAGGAAGCACAGTCAAGTGCGCGTCGCATACACGAGATGAAGAAGCTTACGGCATCTGAGCTGCCCATAGATCCGTTGGAGGAGGCACAGATGATGGTAAACGAAGAAATTGTGGATGTCATGAATGAACCCCGCTGCGGCTACGGATTTGGATATTTGGGTGTCCTGCGTGAACGCGGTGGTTTTGAGACAGATGAGGGTGTGGACACCAATCTGAAAGGCGCACTTACACTAGATATCTCAGAGCTGTCCGAGGACGAGGAGGATGGAGATGATGAGAGGGAGTAATTCTCTCTCTCTGTGTGTGTGTGTGTGTGAAGATAAAGGATTGAGAGTAGCAGTGAGTGACGCGAGAGGAGTTGAGTAAATGGGTGGCACACTTTTAAAAGTAAATTCAAACAAAAAGCAAAACCTAAAAAAATAAAAATTATAACAGCAAAAAAAAAAAAAAAAAACGCTTTGCAATTGGAGGGGAGATAAAAGAAAGATGAATGGAAGTAGAAGAGACCCAGAGAGGGGATATATACATATATATAATATATAATACATACATATATATACCCGCCTTTTATGTTGTCTCTCACTTTTCTTCTTTTTTTTTTTTTTTTTTTTTTTTTTTTTTTTTTTTTTGCTCATCTCCAGAAGGACTTTGCTTCTTCGACACTCCCTCTATCTCAGTGTGTATTTTAGAAGCTCTTAGGAGGAATTTGCAACCCAATGGGGCCAAGTCACCGATAGCACGTCTTGTTGAACTTCCCTGTTTTTCTTTTTCTTTATTGCCTGATTCTTTCTTTTTTTTTTTTTTTTATGTCGAGTTGGAAGGTAGCGAATGTGGCTTTTTTTTTTTTTTTTTTTTGTTGTTGTTTGTCTCGCTCATCCTCCACTGCCCCCCACGCGGAGGGAAGAGTCCGGTCCCTGTAGCTTATGCGTTATGAGCTTTTGAGTTTTAACTGGTGTGGAGGTGTTGGATCAATCTTATCTGAGGTGTGAGGCATGTCGGGTGCAGTGAAACAAATTGTCACATTCCGTTGTTGTACCATTCTCTTTTTTGAGAATGGGGAAATACGGTCTCAGCAAGGCGTATATGCATGGTTTTGCTTTTTTCTTTTTTTCTTTTTCCCCCCAACCTGTTGCGTTTTAGCCCATTTCATATTTTCCGCAAATGTACAAAGGCACGGGCATTCATATTTATATGTATGCCTTTTTTTTTCTTTTTCTTTTTCTTTTTTTTTTTTTTTTTTTTTTTTAGCTTCCTGAACAACAATAACAACTCTGAGACGTCCTCACTCAGGCCTACCGGTGTGTGTGCCCAATTCTTTACCTTGTATTTCAAATAACGACGTTTGTTTCACACTTTTTTTTTCTGCCAGATTTTGCCTTTTTTGCCACTTGTGGCTTCTGGTATGTGTATACATATAATATATACGATCTGTTGGGTGGAAGCTGCATCTTTTTTTTTGCATTGTTGATGTGCTTGGCTGGTTGACTGATTGCGTACTTTTGTAATAGTAGAACTGCGCCTTGTTTTGTGCGTGCGTGATTACCCAGACGCCTTATTTTTATTTTTATTTTTTCCACACCGCAATATTTTCATGTTTACTGTTCTTCTGGCGTTCCTGACGTTTACTTTGCTTCTTTTATGATGTGGTACCTCTTCTTCCTGGAATGCCTTCTCCCCACTCCTTTTCCTTTTTTTTTTTTGTTTTGTTTCGTCACTTCCTTGTGAACGCTTCATGTCGTATTTCTACCGAAGAGAGTGAAGTTTAACAAATGGTGTTGCCTACTCGCCAGGCCGTTGACCGACGCTCCCGCAAGGGCTGCAAGAAGCACCGCCCCGAGATCATCGTCGTGGACCTCAAGGACCACGTGCTGGGGCGTGCTGCCGCCATCGTCGCAAAGCAGCTTTTGCTCGGTAAGAAGATTACCGCGGTGCGTTGCGAGCAGCTGACGATTGCAGGAACGGAAATCCGCAACAAGATCAAGTACCTGCAGTTCCTTCGCAAGCGGAAGCTGTCAAACCCGAAACTCGGTCCTTTCCACCACCGCAGCCCCTCCGACATTTTTCTTCGCACGGTGCGTTCAATGCTACCCCGCTACACCAAGCGCGGTCAGAAGGCGCTGCGCCAGCTGGTCGCGTACGAGGGCATTCCCACGAACGTTGTGCGCACCGGTGGCCGTGTGGTCATCCCCAAGGCGCAGCGACACTACTGTTACCGCAGTGAGCGTCCCTACACGGTGCTGGGGAACATGTGCAAGCACGTTGGCTGGAAATACAGCGATGTTGTAAAGAAGCTTGAGACAGCCCGTGTGGAGAAGGCAACCCGCCACCACAAGAAGACGGAGAAGTTGCGCGCCGCCTGGAAGTCTGCGCGCAAGGAGGCTCTCTCGAAGGTCTCCAAGAATAACTTGGAGGTGCTGAAGAAGTTTGGCTACGCGTAAGTACCCAAGCGGTTTCTTATTGTTCCGGCTCTTGTGATGGATTGGTTTTTTGGGATTGTGCATGGAGGAAACCCAATATTCACTCAATTCTTCTTTCTTATTTTCACTGATTTTATTCTTATTTTACTTTCATATTCCGTGAAAACGTTATCCGTTCCTTCCGTGTCGGCTTCTGCAGTCACGGGAGAATGAATTGTTTTTTGTTAAGCAAGTCATTGAACCCCCCACACCCAGAAGGATGATTAACAACGCCCCTTTTTTTTCCCCACTCTCCCCCTTTGGAGTATCGTGTTTTTGACACATAGTTTGGAAGGATAGGAAAGGAATTTGATCTTCTGTCGCGATATTGACATTGAATAAAAGGGGAGGTAAACGAAAAGGAGCAAAGGGAAAGTAGTAAAGGGGCGGAGACGTACTCTACATGTCTGTTGAGTCTGGCCTTTCTGCTGGAGACGGTGGCGAGGAGAAGCCAGATTCGGGGCGTCTGTTGTCATGGGAGGAATACCGGGCCCAGTATGTGATGAGGCAGAGGCTGCGATATCAGATGCAGCGGGAAGCCAGCGATAATATGGAGAATTCCACGCCGCCGGCGCCTCCCGCTACTGCTGCTCGTGCTGCGCCTCCCCAAGAAGAATGGCAGCAGCGACGGGAGCAGGCTCAGCATCCTGCCGAGGAACAACGAAATGAAGGAGCACTTGCCAACGTCTGGGGCAGAATTGAGCTTCGTCCTGGTGATTTTATAAATGCTGCACGCGTGATGGGGCGGGTGATCCTGGCAGCCTTTCTCGTCTTTAGAACAGTGTCCCTCTATTATGTTTTTCTGACGCTCATGACTTACCTTGGGTGGCTCGCCGTAAGATTTGCCTTTGCGTCGATAAGGATAGAGCGTGAGAACGTGGCTGGAGCGCGGGGTGCGTCCCATGCGACGGCGGCTCGTGGAAGGCGTTCCCACCTACCCCACCAACACCACCGTATTTCCTTGCCTCGGAAAACTTTATATATAATAACACGTTGCATCACTTCTTTTCTGCTGAGTTTTTCGCCAACCTACTCGGTGGAACAATTGGAGGCGGAGTTGTTGGAGGACGGCATTATTGGGCCGCATCCGCACCAGGACTGATCCACGGAGGGAGCAACAGATGCTGTCATTCACGGATGGTGGCTTATAAATGGATGCATCCTGCGTTTTCCTTGTTTGTTGAGTCTTTGTCGCGTCTTGGGGAAGCGGAGAAGAACGAAAGGAATTTACCCCGATGCACAGAAGTAGTTGTTTGGCTTTTTTTTTCTTTGTGTTTGTGTATTTGCGTGTGAGTGTGTGTGTGAGAGAGAGATTTTTTTTTGCTGCCTATAAATTTGATGTTTGGAGGAAAGTCGCAGCCGCCGTCCATCCCGCTTGGCGTCTCATTTTGCCGTATTTTGTGCGCACGCCGGCACCAATTCTCTTCGCCTTCTCTTTCTTTTCGTTGTTTTTTTTCCCCCTCCCTTTTTGGTTTGCTTGTGTGGAATGGGACGCCAAGGGGTGGCTGCACGAGACCCACACGCCCAAAACATTAACCCCGCAAGAACAAAACAACAACAACAAAAGCAAGAAGGGATCTTAATTGGTTCCGAATTTTATTTATTTTTTTTTTTTTTTTATTATTTCTTGCTGGAAGCAACAAGCAGAATTTCAAAAGGGAAGCTGAAACGAAAGCGAGAAAATGGCGTTTACTCTTCAAAATGAACTTACTTTTTTCCATTTTCTCCTCTCTTTTATCGTTGGAACGATGACTTTCATGTTCTTCCTTTTTTTCCTGCGCAAGAGGCAGCGCCTTTTTGAGGCCGCGCCAAGAAACATCTTTGTTCCGCGCGCCTACACACTGGAGGAGTTGAGCGAATACGATGGAGTCAAGAAGCCGCTGGCATTTGTCGGCGTGCGTGGGGTTATTTACAGCTGCTCGATGGATTTCTATGGCCCCAAGGGACCGTACAACGCCTTTTCGGGTCGTGATAGCTCGCGGCATTTAGGCAAAGTGACGGTGGGGCGGGAGGAAGCAAACGCGGATTGGACGACGCTCTCTGCGAGCCACATCGCGACGCTAAACGGATGGGATGAACTGCTGCGCAGCAAGTACGTGCCAGTGGGGTGGATCATTCCCTCTGAGGATTTTACAAAACGAGCGGAGGCATTTGAGGCGTAGTCGATTTATATTTGTTTTTTTAGTGGTGATTGTTTTCTTTTTTATTTCTTGCGATGATGATGACACATGCGGGACGAGGCAAAATCCCCGAGTGAAGTGCTCTTTTTTTGTTGTTGTTTTTTCCCCCTGCTGTTGGTATTCCATCTTTGAGCTTGTAGGCCAGTAGAGAATTGCCTTTCCTCGGGCGGGATGCACTTCAGTGTGTTGGGGCGAGATCCAATGGTCCCAAACTCTCTGAAGCTTTCCAGCGATGCCCATGCAGAACCACGCACGGTCAAGGCGTCGGATATCTGTGATGAGTCACCTTTCGCCGAACATGATGGTGGCGGCTCCTCGCATCCTTGCAGGAACTGTGCCCACCCTCTCCCCTCCGGTGCGGAGCATAAAGGAAGTGAAACGGACACCACGATGTATATGTCAATTGTTCATCGCCTGCAAGAGAAGGTGCATAACTTACAAGAGGCATTGCTGGTCTCTAATCAATGCTCCTCTTTGCTAGACTCTCTTGTTCGGCCTGGAGAAACATCCATGACGGAAGTGTCATTGCAGCAGGCACAAAATTCTGGGGAGGGACAAGTCACGCGAAGGATGCGCAACGAGTGGTCGAGGGCTGTGGAAGTAAACAATGACATCATGTCAGTGCAACGTGTATCATCAAAGGTAGGCGTGGAAAGCGTTAACAATTGGATGAATGGAACTTCCCTCAGCTCTTGGGATCGCCGTGGTATAATCCACGACGAAATCACCGCCCCCAGTCCCAAGGAGGAGGAAATAGAAAAGGAAATTGTGATTCCCTCTTTTCACCCAAAGAAGGAGAATGCTGGCGATGCCAACAGCGCGTCGGCAAGTGCCCGCGTTGTTGTGGATCCAGTCATACTCGTGGATATCACCACTGTGATGAACAAAAACATGCCGCTTCACCCTGTCACGAAGTCCGAAAATGCCGTTTCACGGTTTACTGTGGACGCGGAAGTGGAGCGTTTGACTGCTGAAAATGTGAGGTTACGTGAGGAGTCCGCAGAGGTGCGGCGCGAGCTACAAATCAGGGACGATGAACTGCGACGCCGAGAGGCGGAACTGGCGAAGTTGAGCCAAGTTGTGAAGCAACTTCAGGAGTGCAACAGCACGTTGAAGGAGGAAGCTGCTGTTGTGCATCGTCGCTGCGATGATGCGATGGGGATGGCGCGTGCCTCCGAACTGAAGGTAAAAGAGCTGACCGCGACGATTGACTCACTTGAGACCGGGGACGAAAAACACTGCGACAGCTGCGCGGCCGCCAGGCATGAGGCGGAGGATGCATGGAGGGAAGTACGGCGGTTGGACTCCGAGCTCCGCGCGTGGGGACCGAAGGAGCGTGAGCTGCAACGTCTCCGTGTATTAATGCGTTTTTCGGAGCTGAAGAAGGACAGTGACAGGCTCAATGTCATTGTGGGGGAAATGGAATCCGCCGAGTCTGAGCGAGACCGTCTCCGAGAAGAGAACCGACGTTGCCGTAAACTTCTTGCGGAGTATCGGGACCGACTGGAAGCGGCCGTGACGAGCACCGTCATGCCTGAGCCTCTTCCGGTGCCTGCAGCAGAATGCCCTTCAGCATGCGAAGAAAGTGAGGCGTGGCCTCATTCTCAGCGGCCCCATTCAGCGGGGAACCGGCCACAGGCGGCGGATCGGATACGCCGACCGCAAAAACCGGCGGTTGCGTCGAACACGGCTGGAAAAACACGGAATGAGCCTCTAACACATGGGCGGCAGAGACAATTGTCTTTTGGTAGAAAGAAGATGAGCTTTTTTTCATGTGATCTCAGCAGCAGTAGCAGGGGGTTGTGTTGTCTTTTTGGTAGCAGAGGCGGTGTCCTCAGTTATCATCGAGCGATGAAAGGGTCCGTGAACTCCCGGCGCTTCCAAAAGACGCCCCTACAATGAAGGACGCTCTGCACTTTACTGGAACCACAACGTCATAATCATCCTTTCAAATGTACAATTGTATGGAGAAGAGGGTGTGAGAAGGGAGAAGATTGGAACGGAGCCGGCGACTTCCAGCGATGTAGATAAGTTTTTTTTATTTCCACGCGATGTTCGCACATATTCCTTTGTATGCTATCTCTAATTCTTTGCACCTTTTTTTTTTTTTTTATCTTTCCTTGTTGTGTTGAAATATTTATTAACTGTTTCTCACTCACAAACCCCCTTTTCCATAAACGCACACAGTTAACATGATTATTGATGTTAATTCCCATTATGAATTGCACGCATAATTATGGATGACATGTGTCATTTTAATTTTCCTCTGCCTTTTTTTTTTTTTTTTTTTTTTTTTTTTCTTGTTTATTTGTATACATTTCTAGGGAAATAATAATAGAATTGCCAGGTATATTGTGTGTAGGGGGTGCCGAGATTAGGAACCGGTCGACACAGGAGGAGGGCAGTTTTAGGGTATCACGGGTCTACTCTCTCTCTCTCTCTGTATATAGGTCTCTATCTCCCTCCTGGATTTTGTGTGTTGCCTTCTCACTCCTGTTTTCTTCTTTTTTTTGTTTTTTTGTTTTTTTTGTTTTTTTCAGAAGTGTGCTTCTTTATTATTATTATTATTATTATTATTATTATTATTATTATTGTTTCTTTTTTTTCCTGTGTCAACACGCGCCATCACCGCTCCCGGTTGTTCCGCTACTGGGGAAGGAAGAAGGGTCCTGCACAAAAGCTGCCTCTGATATCGTCCGTCTTCTTACTTTTGCTTTTGCTCTCCATCTTTATTCTTGGCTGTTTGGCGTGTCATTGTCTCTTGGGCGCCGCATCGTTTTTTGTTTTTGTTTTTGTTTTTCTCCGGCACTTTTCGAAGGTCTTTTCGCTCGTGACGTTGACCGTTCATCCTTCTTACATATCCAACAACGGGGGCGGAGTTCTCCCCTCACGTTTGCTTTTTTTTTTTCTCTCTCCCCTCTTCGGCGAATTGAGGAAATGCTGCACTCCCACGCACCCACCGGAATGTCACCCAATGGTAAAGCGAATAGATGTAGGGGTGGTGAGGCGGCACCCGGAGACGTATTGGGGGAACTTGCAGAGAAGGGACATGGACAAGAAGAAGGGTGCCACTTGCAGCAGCCCCATTCCAATCCAACGGAATCAGAAACATTCGATCCCTGTGGCTCGAGTGGTGATTCTCGGGTAGACGCTCAGCCCGCGCCATCTTCTCGGAAAACTTTGGATTCCACTCATGACACTAACGGGAATAAGGGCGATAGGGATGCTGTAGGCAGGGCCCTACACCGAGATCCCAACGGAAACGGGTTTGAAAGTTCTCACCCCTCCGGAAAACCCGACCGAGTCTGGGATTTAGTCTCCGGCACCCCAAAAAAGAGTCCGTCGAAGGTGAAGGCCGCAGCGGCGGCAGTGGCCGATGTCGATTCGGATGCTCCGGCGTGCGCAGTAGACGTTGCTGAGATGGCAACAAGGGAAGTGAGAAGCCCCGCGGTGCCGGAAAAAACAGAAACAGAAATTAGGCCAACGATGACAAAAGGTTGGGATGCCTGTGGTGACGAATGTGGAGGTTGCGGTGCCGCCCTTGTCAACTCAGGAGGTAACGCCGAAATTTTAGCGGAATCACAAGATAACGGGAGACAACAAAAGGAGGGGGTCTCCACTGTGTCCATTCAACAACAACAACAACAAAAACAGCAGCAGCAGCAGCAGCAAACAAAGAGACATACAGTAGTGACGACAACCGAACACACAGCTGGGGTCTCACAGGGGCGATGCGTACCCGTTGTTCACACCACGACTTCCATAGCTGCTGTCAATTCGGCGAGCTGTACCCGCCCCGTGACCGCTCTGAGTGTTTACTTAGTCGCGCTCTACAAGAAGGTAAACGAGGCATATTGCCGTCAGAGACGTTTTGAAGCTCCCGGTCCGAAATTTAATAATGGATTTGATGACAAGGAGGGACACTATCTTGTGCTGTCCGGTGAGGAGATACTCAATCGGTACACAGTTCAAGAAGTGCTCGGCAAGGGCAGCTTTGGTACTGTTGTCCGCTGCTATGACGAGAAGCGTCGTGAGAATGTCGCTCTAAAAATCACTCGTCACGGTCTCAGTTTTCGTACGCAGGCAAAACTGGAGCTAGACATCTTGTTGAAGCTTAATGTTAATCCACACCTTAATCAACTTGTTGTAAAGCTTTTGAAGGTGTTTGATTGGCAAGGGCATCTTGTGTTGGTTTTTGAACTGCTGAGCTTTAATCTGTACCACCTTATTAAGTGTACACGTTACAACGGTGTCACTCTCGATTTAGTACGTAAGTTCGCATACCAGTTGGTACAAGTGCTTTATCAGCTTGAACAGACAAAACCTAGCCCTATCATTCACTGCGATGTTAAGCCGGAAAACATTCTTTTGAAAAATCAAAATCGTAGCGGCATACGTCTCATTGATTTTGGCTCGGCATGCTACTCGAACAAAGTCATTCATAAGTACATACAGAGCCGCTATTATCGTAGCCCTGAAGTTATTTTGTATTTGGAATATGGTACTTCTATTGATCGTTGGTCCCTGGGGTGTGTGCTTGCCGAGCTCCACACCGGTGTGCCGCTCTTTGATGGACGGACAGAAGCAGCACAACTAGCCCGCTTTGAGGCAATGTTGGGACCAATCCCCGTAGAAATGTTGGAAGCCTCGCCAAAGTTGGCCAAGTTCTACGGGACAACAGAGAATGGCTACAAACTAAAGGAACAGCCGCTGCCAAGACGCTCCCTGGAGTGTGTTTTGGGTGTCACCACTGGTGGTCCTCGTGGTTCGCGAAAAGGCACACCAGGGCATAGTGAAGAATCCTACCGTCAATTCCATGATTTTCTTAGTGGATTGCTGAAATACAGACCAACAGAACGAATGAGTTGCTCTGATGCGCTGCGGCATCCGTTTATAGAACCGCTCTGGATATCAGACCAGCAACAACAGCAAATCACTCGAAAACCACCCCCGCCTCCAAATCCTCCACCATGACAGTTGTAGACCTCCTGTCCAGAAAAAATGCGTTAACACGGAAGGTCAAGGTTTCTGTGATGAAGTGTCCATTTTCCTTTTGCGTGCTTGTTTTCGCTTTATGTTGTGTGTGTGTGTGTGCTTGTTTGTGTGTATATGGAATGAAGGGTCACCCATTGAATGAGCTTTTATGGGTTGAGAGAGAGAGTTGAGAATGTTATTTTTGCATTGCGGTGCGTAACATTATTTCAATATCTCTGTCTGTTGTTCTTTGCGGAGCATTGGGTGGAGGAGTTTGGGGAGATCTTCTGTATTTGTGTGTGTATATCTCAACTGTGTGGAATTTATTGCAGCGCCCCCCGAAAAAATAAATAAACAAACAAAAAAATAATATATATATATAAGGGTGTCTCTCTGCTACCGTGCTTGCAATTTGGTTTTGTACCATTTCTCTCATACTTCCCACACCTCACGATGGGTTGCTGCTTATCTGTAGGCTTGTGGAGGGTGGAGGGGGCAGCAAAGCATGAGTGCGGCGAAAAAAAAAAACTTCTGAAAGAAGGGGAAATAGAAGAATGAAAAAAAAAGGGCGAAATTTGTATAGTAATTGCCATACATGTTTTGTTTTGTTTTTATGTATGTTTTAATTTTGTGCGCATGGAGATGCACCATAAATGAAAATAGACGAAAGAACTGGAGGATGTACGTGGCCGTGTAAGCACGACAGGGAAGGGGAGCGCATAACAAAATTGACATATGGCGTAAAGGAGGTGTGGAAGGTGGATTGGGGAGGGGGAAGCTGACATGGCGGGGAAAAACAGAGCGGATTGGGGGGGAAATTTTTTTATATATAAAGTGGGGAGTTTGTGTGTTGAAATAGAATAAGTATGTGCATATACATATATATATATATATCCTTTATAGATGTGTTTTTTTTTTTTTTTTTTTTTGTGTGTGTGCGTGTGTGTGATGGATGGATGGATGGAAGAGAGTTTGTTTTGTTTTTGTTTCTTACCAGGGCTTTGGGATATTTCGCACCAGCTGTAGGCTGAAGGGAGAATGAGGTGAACACACACGAAAAAAAAAAAAAAAGGGAAGGAAATGTCAATGCAATGGAGAGTTTCTTGCCGTGTGTGTTGATCTCGTGGTCACGGTGGAGGGGATATCGCTCCCAGTAAATCAATAAGCGGGGGACATCCACCGTCTGAATTGAGGTCCGCATTCGTATATATATGCGGGCAGTGCAAGTCAATGCGGCCCTGCGTTGTGAGGGTCTTCAATGAAGTCTATTCGTTGCACAACAATCATGAAATCGCTGCGGAACCCCAAAGTTGCAATGCGAACAAAGGCCGGGGAGGAGGAAATGGGTTGACATTCCTTGACAAAAGAAGGGATTGTGAAACGCATGTATCATACGTTGGCAGATGCATACGTATCTGAATCCATTTATCATGTCGTATAGATATATATAAGAATTGATTTGCGCCATGCGGGGGGGGCGAGTAAGAGACGAAACGAGAAGTTAATTTGAAGAAGAAAATGTTTGTGTGTGTGTGTGGGTTAATGTGTAGTTTTTTTTTTTTGTTTTTTTTTTTTTTACATTATTCTTGTTTGTGTCTGCTTTTCCTCATCGGATGTGCAGCCCTGGCCTTTTACATCCGAATTGCAGATGGGGGGAAGGCTAAAAGCTGAAAATGCCCTTTGGTGCTGTCCACATATTCCCTGTTGTTGTTGTTGTTTTTTCTTTTTTGCTGCCGCTGTCTGTGCTCGTGCGTGTGTGTGTTCCTGCATCCCTGTGTGCTGTGCGTTTGGTGGGGGGGGTGACTGGCTGCGGTTTGAGTGAGGAAGGAGCAACAGCAGCGAAAAGGAGGGAGGGGGGTGTAGCGCAGCAAGGAAGTGACATTGGCAGCAGCGCATTTTGAATAAATTTGGATATATTTATTTATTTTTAGATTGTGTGTGTATCGGTCTCCGTCTTGTGACCATGCCGAGCAGCAGCAAAAAGAACAGGGGCAAGAATGCCATCCACAGCAACCATAATAATAATAATAATAATAACTCTGTGAACCATAGGGACGGCCCCGTAAAGAGCAAAAAGCAGGAGGAGAGTGATGAGTTTGAGAAAGTTCTGGCGGACCTCAGCAGGGCTACAGAGTTTTCAGGCATGAAGAGGGCCAAGATGCTAGAGCGTGATGCGAAGATGCGGGTGGAGCGGGTGGAGAGGTATAAGAACGTCATTGCCGGGAGGGCAAAGGAGGCTGAAATGGAGTTTGACATGATGTTGCGCCGTAAACAGCAGAAGCAGCAGTTCCAGGATCTTCTTCAACAGCTGCTAGCCGCCCAACGTGTGCTCCTGGACGCCCCCAATACCGACTTCCAAGGCGAAACAGTGACGGAAAATCCTCATTTTGACGTAGCGGTAGGGGAGATGCAAGGCTGGCGTGTCAACATGGAGGATGAGCACCTGGTAGATGTCAAATTCCCGAACGATGAGCCCGATAGCAAGGAGGGACTCTTCTGCGTTTTTGATGGCCACTCGGGGAAGGGATGTGCCAAGAAGTGTCGGGAGTTGATTTCCAAGACAGCGAGGAAATACTGGACGCGTGTGACGGGGGAAAGCGCGAGTTCCACGGTGGACTTTGAAAAGGTGTACCTGGAGGTGGACGGCATTTTAGAGAGAGAGCTGACGGATGGATCAGGTTGCACGGCTGTCACGGTACACGTCACATCCGATGTTATTACCTGCGCCTCTGTCGGAGACTCCCGTGCGGTGCTTTGCCGCAACGGCGCTGCCTTTGACCTTTCGTACGACCACAAACCAGAGAATGCGTTGGAGCGCGAAAGGATCGAGTCTGCAGGAGGTTCTGTCTCGGAGAACCGCGTAAATGGCCAACTTGCGATGAGCCGAGCGATGGGTGATTTCATCTACAAGACTCAAAAGGATCGTGATCCGAGGGAGCAGCATGTCATTGCCGTGCCTGATGTTATCAGCACCCCGCGGGAGGCCGGTGACACATTTGTGGTGTTGGCCTGCGATGGTATTTTTGATGTCCTTGGAAACGATGAACTGGTCGATTGTGTGCTTTCCAAGAAGCAACAGGGAAAAAGTAACTTGTTGATATGTGAGGATATTTGCCGTGAGTGTTTGGCGCCACCGGCGGAGGGCGGTGGTCGCAGCTCACGCGCCGAGGGCACAGACAACATGACCATCATGATCGTCGATCTTAAGTAAGGCTGAGTAAAAATTAACCAGGTGATTCTATTTTTGTGTTTGTATCTCTCTCTCTCTCTCTCTCTGTGTGTGTGTGTGTGTGTGTGTGTGTCTGTCTGTCTGTCTGTCTTTGTGTGTGGAAAAGAAAAAGAAAAAAAAAAGTGAAGATGGGAGAATATTTGGTAAATTTTTAATGACGCAGAAACATTCACTCACCCATGACACTCCACAGCTATGATATTGGAGCAGAGTGAAGGAATGGAGGGAGGGACGAGGCACCTCGACGCCGCAACGAAGAGGGAGTTGAAAAAGACGGAGAAAATGTTATCAAACAGGAAAAAAGGGGAGGAAAAAGAAGGTGTACATATGTGTCTATGTGTGTGTGTGTGTGTGTGTGTGTGTGTGTGCGGACTCATTTATGCTCGTCCACATGTATGTGCACTCGAGAAGTAAAATAATGAGCATGGCGGCAACAACAACAGCAACAACGGGGAATTGGAAGGGGGCATTGGTTGCCGCCCAATCCACTGCATCGTTTGTGTTGTTGTTGTTGTTGCCCTGCACTGCTTGAATCCTAAGGAGAAAAGGAGAGGATATGTTGCACACAAATTTAATATTTCTCGCCACGAAGAGTGTGTGGCATCATTTTTTTTTTTTTTTTTGTCTTTCTTTTTGGCTTTCCCCATCCTTTTTTTGTTTGGGATTCCGCACAAAAACACATGAGCAAACAGACGCACAAATACACAGTTGTGTCACTGAATTAAAAAAAAAAAAAAAAACGGGGGAGGGGGACGTGTACACAAAGATATTCAGATTGGATTGCCCATAAAGTTGGCCATGTGTTTATGTCCCTCGCACCCACACGCAAGTGTGCTGGTAATGAATCAACTTTCCTTTTTCTTTTTTTTTTTTTTTTCTCTCTCGTTTTACGAAGAACACCAGCAAGCACGATATATGTCCTAAATGCATATAAATTAAATTAATAGAGTGCAGCCCTTTTTTGGGTTTTCGTTTTATTTGTTTCAACATTACACTTTTCGTTTTTAAGAGGGAGGTGCTTTAAGGACGAATGATTGTGTCCTGGCTTACAAATGGTATTCCATGCGATTTATTCTCACCCTCCGCCTCACGTGTGCCTGCGCGCTTCTTCTATTCCTCTACTTCACTGTTTTGAAGGGGTTTCGCTCAATCACTGAGTTCTTTACTCGTTCCCTCTTTCGCTCTCTCTCCGTGCTTGCGTGATTTTTGTGTATGTGCGTGCGTGGATGGGCGGGTCGCTGCCCCCACAGCTTTGTATTCCCTTGCAATATATATATATGCCTGTGGCCATCTCTTTTTCCTTTTGAGTTTCTCCGCGGTGTGAGCACACACTAGGCTTGGCTGGCGAAGAGGCCATGAGGACTGCTGCGGCCTACGGCTTGGAGTTCCAGGCCCGATGCATCGCGCCGTTTTACCACCCGTCGAATGGAAACGTCGAATCCCACCGATTTCTTGTGGGAACGTCTTGTTTTTCTGGTGACAACAAAATTTATTTGCTCGAGCATCACGACGAGACGAAGCTGCTCGAGTGCATGACAGTTTGGTTCCATGAGGAAGAGGTGTGCGGGCTGTGGAGCTCGCCGTCCTTGACGGATCCCAGTCTCTTTGCCATGAGCTCGCCAACCGCGACCCGTGTCTTTCAGGTCCCGGAGACGCTTGCAGGCGAGCTGCGGGACGTCACCGCCTTTGACGTCGTCGCCTCTCAGGTCCTCTGGGACTTGGATGGGCTGCAGAACGAGGTACGGCTGACGTCGCAGGATACGCTGCGGATGTACGCGCTTGACGAAGGGAGATTGGGGAAGGAGGTGAGTTGCTTCCGCATAGACGGAAACACACGAATCAACTGCGCTGCCGTGGACGCACATCACACCTCCGTGTGTATGGTGGCCTGTGAGAAACTCGGTTTGTATTTGAT